GGGGGTACTTTCGCCATGGAATGGAAACTCTTTGGGGATACCAAAAGGGATGCCACGCTCGTTCAAGAGCAGGTGGGGGTTGAGGGGGGGGGGGGGTTGAGAGGGTGCAAGTCGAGGGCACGGTAAGGCGAGGGAAGCATGTTTCCATATAGGTAGTGCCGTAGCCGTAGACGTGAGGTGGGGTGTCTCGCCGTACACTGGGGGTAGCCGAAAGCTGAGACCCAAGAACTTTACGCACTTCTCTCTGATACGGGGGGCTAGCACAGGTACAGGGAGACAGGCACACAGGGCAAGCAAACCTAACCCAAGCTTTGTAACACCGTGGCCAACTACCACAATCTAGCGAAGATGCCCTCACCTTGCCCACAAATATACACCTAATCCCCGCTTTACAACCGTCGATCAGACCGCAGGTTCTACTAATATTCTCCTGGTCCGATTTGATACACTTCGGGCATGCCCACGCGATATGTGTGCCGAACACCGGCCGGTGCATCACTCAATCTAGCGGGCATGAAAACAATCACACGATTTTGGGGGCATAACTGTGAAGAAGAGACAGCGTCCCGTACTACTTTGTGGGCTAAAGAAAAAAACAACGTTTTTCAAGAAAGCTCTCAACAGAGGGTCAAAACCATGATCTAATTTGCTCCTTTCGGCGGTGGCGGCAAAAAAAAACAAAAATCTGCGAAACATCAAATCTTTCGGAGCTCCGACACAACCTGCGAGATGCTTGATGGACCTCACCCGTACACGAATCGTAATCCACGGGTCACGACCCGAACTGCGGCATGAAACTTTACTATAGATCCGCGAAACCGGTTTTGACCTCACCCCCGCACCCCAAACATGGCACGTTCTCTGGGCCTGACGGGATCTTAGCGACGCAACCCAGTCCGACCCGCTATGCATAGTTCTTCAACCTAAACACATCCGACAAGACCCATCCCTGGGTTGGGTCGCACCGATTAGCAAAGCTCTGGAAATGAATCACCGCTTCACCCTACCTCATCTGGGATCGATAGTTCCCATTGTCGTGCAGGAACATGGGGCCTTGCCGGTGCATGGGTGCCTGCAATAGCCCACTGCCGCCGCCGCCGCCGCCAGGACCCAGCGGTGGGCCCCGCCCCGCCGCCGCTCTCCCTTGACCTCCTCCGCTGCCGCCACCAAGGCCGCCAGCGCCCGGGCCGCCCGTCCCGCCCCCCCGGCCGGGTCGTCCAGAGTGGGGAATCGCCCTTGCCCCGCCACCGCCGCCACCGCCGCCGCCACCACCACCACCACCACCACCACCACCACCACCACCAACGCCGCCACCCATGCCCATGGACCCGAAACCGCCAGGGCTCCTCTCGGAAGAGAAGGGAATACTACCGTACGGACCGCTCTGGGGTGAGGGCATGACGTTGTTGGCGGGAGAGGTGTAGTAATTCGTTGAGGCGTGGGGAGGCGGCGGGCGGGAGTAGCTTCCGCTACCTACCGCCGCGATGCCGTTGCTACCGCTGGCGCCGCCGTTGTCATCACTGCTACCGCCGCGCGCCCCGCCTCGACTGCTGTACCCATGTTGCCCGTAGGGCTGGGGGTTATAGGGCTGCTGTGAAAACGGAGGAGTGGACGTTTGGCCGTAAGGGGGAGCGTAACCCTGCTGAACGTATGAAGGGGAGGTGTATGATCCACCACCGCCGCTCGGCATGACGTTACCGTATGGCTGCTGTTGGTGCTGCTGCTGCTGATGTTGCGGGGAATACGTCGACGGCGCCGAAGGTGCGCCATAAGATTGCTGAGGGGGGGTGTATGTCTGGTGCTGCTGAGCGGGGGGGGCGTACGGGGTCGCCTGGGGCTGCTGTGCAGCGGAATAGGGTGAGTACTGCTGGGAGGAGTAACTCTGCTGAGGGGTGTGTCGGTGGGAGGTCGACGACGGGGGGTTTGGGGGTCCTTGGGTCACAGGGGGCGCCGATGCAGCAGGGGGGCCGCGATACCCGTTGGCACCGCCACCAGTCGTAGCGGTAGGAGCAGGGGTTACACCCGGGGGCAGAGCGCCCTCAAGAGGAGGGCCAATGTTGAAATCCCACGATCGCTCCGTGTTTCCCTTGACGGTCACGTTCTGGAGGTTACTGTAGCCTACGCGGATGAGATTGCACCCAGAGTACATTTCCTGTGAGAGAGTTGCGTCGATGCAAAGGTAGAGAAGGGGTTGTTGGCCAGAAGGGATGGACGAGGACCTGTTCACAACAGCAGTCCTCAACGACACTCGGATTCCGCACTAAGGTGTCACTGCTGTCTAGAAAAGCACGTGTCGTCGGGGTGAAATACAATGTAGTAGGCCATGGATCATGGATCACAATAGGGCGACCGTGGGGCAGGGCGGGGGCACCAGCAATCATTGCAAGATCACGCAATCAACACTTCACGAGCTCCCGGACCCCAACTGAGAAAATGCTGTTGCCATGCACTACGCGCAGCACAGAGACCTTATCCGACCAGGTATAACCTCAACGGATATATATGCTTCTCTTCAGGCGTGTGCTTTCCTCCTCTCCAGGTGAAATGGTCTTGCGACAACTCCAACAGGTCTTACAGTACACGAGATGTGGTGCAGAACACGTGTGACTGAGCGATATACGTCACACGCCCGGCTATGCACGATGGGCGACACACAACGATGACTATAGTTGGGACACGCCTACTCGATGGCTTGGTATGATCGTGTTTTGCCTGGCCGGATATCGACACTTGAGGCGGTCCATGTGCCCTACAACATAGCATGCGACCTCCAACCAAAGCTGCTGCAACGGTTGGGTTTGCATTTCTGTGACTGGCGTAACGGCAGGAAATTAACCAGCGACATGAACAACACCAACGTAGGAAACTCCCGACTGCGGTAGTGCTGGCAGCACGAGTGCCTACAGCAATTCATAATCCCAACTTTTGCGAAACCAACAACCTGCTGCGCCCCACCATGAACCTCGTTCTTAGGTGATATTGAATCTTCGTTGTGTGTACTTGTGCTGGCATTTTCGTTTACTGCCGTCTTGCTATCGTAACCTGTTGCTCCCTACCTCTCTTCAACAATGCAAGGGGTGTGGTTTGAATCGGAGCACACTTATTATGTCGTTACGTTTGTAACAGTGCAGCCCCTTAACCCTCCCACTACTGGAAGCCCAAATGGGGACACTTTGGGGACACAGCACTCAAATGCAAGTTTACCGCACCATGGTCGTCATTATGCTCCGCTGCGAGAAACGTGCGTGGGAAACCTTGGTCTAGCATGCTTGTGTGAGGTAGTACGCTGTGTGATATGCTGCTGTGTGATGCCTGTGTGCCTCTCCGGGGTCTCTGACTTGCCGTGCACAATCTCCCAAGCCGCCGGTCTCCTTGTTGGTAAAACCGCAGTACATAGTACATAGCCGAAATAGTACTGGAAAAAATTGCTGACTTGGTTTCAGTACAGAAAGTGTCGCCAGTGCATTTGGGGGCACTTTTCTATAATGAAGCCAAGTTAGCCTTCATCCCTCTGGGCTGTACAGCCTCTCCCAATGAGCGGACGCGATATTTTCTGGACCCATAACAAGTTATGCATACGACATGGTAAGTAAGATCGGGGGGAAAGAACATGCTGTGGAAAACCTAGCAGAAAGCAAATTCATATTGCGCAACGGCTCATCACTTCATTGTAATTGCCACCAGAACCACCAACACAAACTAACCCCTGTCCGCTCAAATGAAGCGAAACATCTTGAGGTCACGGGGAACGCGTCCGGCAACATCCACAAAAACCGCATCCTTTTCTCATTTCTCATGAGTTGCAGACCTGCATGTCCGCGGCTTCGTGCGCGCTCATAGCCGTGTGAACATTCGCCATCTGTACCAGTGCTTGTGAGCCGGAGCCCTTGTCGAACATGACAATCTTATCCACCTTCCCGAACCTGGAAAAAATCTGCTGAAGTGCGAGGATCGTCACCTGCGACAGAGGAAGAACACGGGTGGAGAGTGGAGAAGGAAGGAACAGGAGGAAGCACAACCGTACAGCAGGAACGACCAGGACAGAGAGAGATCGTGTTTCTGCAAAAGATGGGGCAATCTTGACAAGAGTGTCGTCGTACTTGCAAGCCATTGGTACACACCGACTGGTAGTCTGCTGCTGAACTGCATACGCTTCGCAGAGAAAAAAATGGACTACGCGATTGCCAAGATGCTATGGTATGTACTTGAACCATTTTTTTTTTTTTGAATGCCTTCAGTACGATTTGGGCACACCCTCATTTAATTAAGGAATAATAAAAACACACACAGAAAGACTACCCATTCGAGATATACCCACAGTCGAACAGGATGTGTTTCCACGATCATTACACTTCATTGAAGTGCAAATACAAAGACGCTTCCTCAATCCAATATTCGTGCCTGCTGCTGCGGTGCGTGGGGTTGTCTTTAGAAAGCACACAGAATCTCACAGAAAGACGACCCGTTCGAGACATTTTCTTCACCCTCTTGTGAGGAAATCTTAGTCTTGACCTGTCGAGAAAAATCCGGATGGGGTCCGCGACACCAAACCGCATTTATACCTGCTGTGTTGGTTTTGGGGCAAGTTGGAGGACCCTCTCGGCACGCCCGGTTTTTTTTCTAGGCATACTGCTGTAGGCATGTTGGCAAACACCATGCTCTCAACAAATAGGTTGTTCCTGCGAAAAAGAAGTACGGACATTGCCCCTTCGATTGGCATGCGTGCACATAATCGTCTTGAGCCACGTTCTCCCTCTTCTTCGTAAGTATCTCACCGGATGGACGATGTCTGTAACTCGAACCAAGAGCACGTTTCCAGGCTGCTCCTGCCCAGGCCGAAGGATCTTGTCGGGATGATCGCGCGCTCGCTTCGTAGCATCGCCTCCCTCGAACGTCCCTGTCGAAGAGGATGGTGGCGGTCTCTTGTTAGGATTCATCGTGCGTCTTCGTGAGCTGGTCTGTCCGGAAGCAGTACCAGCAGACCTTGCTGGTTTCTGACGGAAAGAGAAAGCGAGCGGTGAGCGGCGTGAGCGGTGAGAGACCAGACGATTTCGATGGCCGGTAATTCCCATTTGTTATACTGGAACACGGGAAACGGACATATTACCTGGTTTAATTTACCGTGGATATATTATACCGTGGATATGTGGATATATTATGCCCCCCTCCTACCCCCTGCGCCCAGCTTTTTTCAAGCCCCTCTCTCGGGGTCTCGGTCTCCTGCTCGCTTTTGGCAGTGGCTGCAGGCGCGAGGTCGAGCGCACCTCCTTTCATCAACTCCTCAAGAAAATCGGCGTCAACACCATGGCCGTGCTCTCTTCTGCCGCAGATGGTGGGACTGCCCAGAAAGTAGCGTCCCTGACGTGGAGCGAGGAGACGATTGAAGTGGAGACGTGCGGCCGCAGCTACTGGTCATTCTTGCAGCGCGCACGGGCAATCGACAATAAGCAGCTGGGGAACGTAAGCGCCTTCACCGTGGACGACGAAGTCGACGAAGAGGTATGTTGGGTCAATATCTTCCGTATTGGGCGATTCGATGGTGTGGCGAAGGTTTGATGAGGAAGTCTGCACTGGTAGTATTTTGAACGGTGGAGAAACACAGAAGCATCGTCATCGTGTTTTTGAAACTTTTACTTTCCGTGTGTCGGTGGCCACTCGGCAACTTCCTGGTACGTACGCACACGCTTGCTTGTGACACCGGTCCAGCAGTAGGACAGACAATCTGTTCTTCCCACGGTGACGGAGGGGGTGGTGTCGAAAGAGATGGTGGCGAGTGCGCAGCGGTCATCCCTCTGGCATGGGTGCGCTCAATTTTCAGTCGAATCTGTGTGTGTGGATGTCCGCATCTGTAATTGTGTCAAGCGTTCACGACAGGCGCAACACTGGGGTGTGCTGCGTTCGACCCACAGCAGTGAGCAGTCGTATAGATTTAGTCGAGCGTGGGGGCCTGCTCGAGTCTTTGTGTTGCTAGCTCCCGGCACCTCCTTTGCTCTGTTGTCATCTGAGACGTGCACTTTTGAATCGGAGTATTTTGTCCGCCGGCGACGCACATGGGCACTTGCTACGCGCAAGCGCGGACGGGCGAACGCGGGTCTGTACGGCAGTAACATCTTGGCCATTGGCACATACACACACATGTTTTCCAAGCAATGGGTTCATTCGAGCTGGTCGCTGTTCCCATAGCTGCGCGATTGAAGTTTGCAGCGGTTTGTGAAGGTGAATCGCTCATACGGAACGTTCTACAACAGTAGTTAACCTGCTGAAAGCGTCCGTCCCCCGTTTTAGGGCAGCACGGCAGACAGGCCAAGCCACTCAAAGGCATATTGTTGCACTGTCGTTGCACTTCGCCGCACCATGCTGTCATGCTGTCTCACTTCCTTAACAGCCCTCCTCCTCTGTACAAATAATTAAGAAAGCTACTCATAAAACTCGCTGCGTTGTTGCCGAAGCAACTCTCAAACCTGTCTCATGTACCCCCCCCCCCTCCCCGCTACACTCCCCCCGTCTTGCAGGAGGTTAGCGAAGACGTGGACTTTCTCCTTCGGGACGATCTCACGCCCGAGCTTGTCCCGGAGCTGACACACTACGAAATCCTGGGTTTCGAGAAGTACGGCAACGGCGTTGGGGACGAGGGGCTGAAGAAGGCTTACCGCAAGGCCGTGCTCAAGTACCACCCCGACAAGACAGGGGTGCAGGACGGGGAAGAGGATGAGGTGGGGTTTCCGCTATGTCTGGCGTTTTTTTTCTTCGTGGAGACGGTTCTCTGTTTCTAGCATGGATTGCAACTATAAATAGTTGGATCACAACGTGTTGCCTTTGTATGTTTTCAATTTGCCGCACCCTTGCCCATAATTTCGGTGCCTATCGCTGTTATGCGTCATCTTCCGTACCGAATTTTATTCTCAGATGGTTCTCGGTTCGCCATGTCTTGCTCAGGTTTTGGATCTCATCCGTTCAGTTCAAGGACCACGTAAAGTCGATTTTTTTGCCCGCTGTCTTTCGACCCCTCTATCCTTCCGGGCTCCGTCTCACACGGCTGGTTTTGTTACGGTTGTCGTGTGCGTGATGGGCATCTTGTTTGTGGGAAAACGAACTGGAACATTGATCGACAGGTGTTCATGGCGGTACAGAAGGCGTTCGACACGTTGACGGACATGACCAAGCGCCGCGCGTACGACTCCTCGCTCGAGTTCGACGACAGTATCCCAGGCAAGTGAACATCATCGGGTATGATATCGTTTTGTCGGTGAGATCTTTCTTGTGCTTTTTTCGCTACAGGTAGGAAGTCGAGCGCGGCTGGGTGCGACATCTAGCTTGTCCTGATGTCCCTGATTTCTTTCAACGCGTGCTGGTGCATCCACATTCCATGTTCCTGTGGGTTGCGGCGCATCATCTGGTTGCTCCTTTTTTTCGATTTCCCTCTTTACACCCGTTCCCCGGTCGTCTTGCCTACCACGCAACTCCGTACTATGTGTTTGTCTCGTGTCTGGCTCGAATATCTGTTGAAGCCTTGATTACCATTTCATGATCGTGCGTTTTGTTCTCATATACTTGTCCTTGCTGTGCTTCTTCGTGTTCACAGATGAGCTGGAAGGGAAGGAAGTCAGCGGACCAACGAGCTTCTACAAGGTGTACGAGCCGGTCTTTGAGCGAAACAAGCGTTTCGCCGTAATCCTGCCGGCACCGAGCCTCGGCGACGATGACACCCCCATCGATGAGGTACGAAGGCATGTCTGCAGGGGGGGGGTTAGGGTTGTGTGTTTGAGGGTGAAGAACGGGGTGTGAGTGGTAGGTGTGTGACGCACCGGGGGGAAAACAAGCGTGTCAATTTTTGTCACGCCCTGGAGAAGGTCCGAAAAGAGTAAATTGAAAAATTGTCTACTGATGGTCTGCCATGTGCAGAGGGGCGGGTGGGCGGATTATAGGAGGGAGGGCAGGCAGAACGAAGAATGGCAGTCCCTTTGTTGAACAAGGCCGTCCAGTGTGTGGCCTTGCCATTGCAACTGCATCTATTGTACGCTGTTATGTGGTAGATCGTCACGACTGCCGTCGCTCGAATCTCGTTTCGTCACCACCCTCAGCCTTTTGTCAAATTTACTCCGACGAAAACACAACATAGGTGAACAACTTCTACGAATATTGGGTGAACTTCGAGAGCTGGAGGGATTTCTCGCTTGAGGGGGAGCACGATGTTGAGGATGCGCATGACCGTTACGAGAAGCGCTGGATGATCAAGGAGAACGACCGCAAGTCCAAGGTGTGTTGGTGGAAAACATCACTCACATCGCGCGGATGGGGTGCCATCTTCCTACTGCAACGCATGACGTCAGTCATCGTGTGTCGAAGAGTTGGGTGGAGTGCAATAGAAATGGCTATGCCTGTAGATGTAGAATGCCACGTTGGGGGCTCGTGTGCACGGCCACCTTGACGCCACTTGCGCACGTCGAGTTTATTGGACGTACTGCATATGTTGATGCCGTGTTATCCGGAAGTTTCCCTTGAACTGACTGGTTGCCTTTTTTTCTTTCCGCTGCCTGCCCGTGTTTTCGTGTGTGTGCAAATGGCACGTTAGGAGCTCAAGCGGAAGGAGGTGAAGCGCCTGGCGCTCCTGGTGGACAGAGCTAGGTACGAAAGGGGGGCACAGCCTAGACAGTACACAACAGAGTTATAAGAAACTGGCGGCGGTGATAGCTAGTGTCGCAGTAATCTGCACTCCGTAGTATCCATTCTAAATCGTGTCTGCGTTGGATGGATCATAACCACTCTTACCTTCGCTGACGGGTTGAATTGGACTTTTGTGTGTCTTCCCCATTACTGCGGTTGGTCACTGAATATTCTAGTGTGGTGACTCATGGCGCCGGTGTCCTTCGTCTACCTGGCGTCTGTGTACTTGTACTTACTTTCGGTTGTTGTGGACCGTGTTTTTCTCGTGGCGTGCTTGTTTTTGTCTTGGCTATTGTTTTGTGTTCTTTTCAGGGCGGTCGACCCTCGCATCATCCGAGAACGAGTTAGAGAGAGGGAAGCCAAGATTGCGGCCAAGGAAAACAAGGTACCGTTTGACTGACTCCACACGACCGAGCACAACAACGTCCCGACGCCCCCGATGTTATTCTACACACCGTAGCATTTCTTCTGCCTTCATCTTGTGTGCTCATGTCCCTGGCTCGCGCTGCATGGTGTCCCTCTATCGGTAACAGCTCTATCTGTAACAGGCGTGATGTCCTGTCCTGTGCCGTCGTTTGCCTTAATCTCTTGGGTGTGCGGCAGTACGGGCATGCCGCAGGTGTTGGATACTCTTGAGGACTGAAAGCACTCTCTACTGCATCCGAACATTGGATTGCAACGTTCTCGGGGCGTGCTCTTGATTTTTACGAAGATCCGATGAGCTTGGCCCACTCCTAAAGTAATGCAACTAGTTGCGTGTCACTTGGATGGTTTCATAGGTCCTCCTCGACAAGTATGGAGTATGAACCAACAGAGGAGCGCGAGGTCTCCGACCTACGCGAAAATAGTGTTTTGTTTTTGTACATGCATGCGACGAATTAGGTACGGGGCGGGCCCCCAATTTGTAGCACATCGCCCCGTCTGAATACGATCTGACGTTCTGATGCTGGGTGTTACTGCGATGACAACGGCCTGGACTGAAGGAGCGCGAGAAGCGAGAGCGAGAGCAGGCTAAGATTCAGGCCGTGGAGGACGAGAAGAGGAGAAAGAAGGAGGAGGAGGAACGTCTGAGGGCCATTTCCAGGCAGGCTAAGGCGGGCAGGGAAGCTCACAAGAAGGAGATGCGCAGGCGAAAGAAGGTATGTGAGAAGGTCTAAAGAACATCTGCTACGCTCTTGGGGTTCGGTCAGGATGTATGCATGGATGGTACCGCTGGCGTGGGATTTTTGAGTCCAACGGTTTGCTGCTGCATCGTTTGAGTGGAGAGAAGTTGCTTTTTCCGAATGTAAATGGCACAGCGCGGCAAAGTGCGATGGAGGACAGTGTGAGTAGCTGATGGAGGACACATGGGTACTAACAAGACCACAAACAGCATATGCATATGGCTTTTATATACAACATGATGATCAGCTGCCATGCACGTGTCTACATGTCGGATCACCCTCCCTCCATGCCGCTTGGATTTCTCCCCTCGACAGGTGATGAAAAACCTATACTCATTGGCGGTAGCGCAGCTGACTGTCGGCGGTTCCGGTTCGGAGGCGGGGGTTACACCTGTGGGCGAAGAGGACATGGAGTGGTTGAAGGAGAACCTGTTGCTGGACCAGCTTAACGCCGCCATCTCAGCCTTGGGGACAGAGGAGGTGATTGAGGAGTGGGCAAGAAGATTTGGTGAACAGAAATAAAAAAAGTAAAACATGACGCGTTGGTGCGCATGATATAGTAGCCGCAATGGTTCTGCCTTGTGGTTGTGGGTCAGAGCGTTGTGCAAGTTGTCGACTGCCGTTCTCGACTGTGACCTTGTTTGACTCGGCGTGCTTTTTTCACCCACTTTCGGTGATGCTGGCGTTACACCTGTGTAGGATCCGGCGACGACTTGTGACCCCTTGCCTCTTTCTCAAGCAGTAGTTCGCGATGGTCGTTGTCGCGTGCCAGTAGAGCTCCTTCCTTCTATGTTTTATTTTCAGCGGTACAAGTGGAATCAGCGGCGTGGCCCCGCACGTGCGTCCTCGAGTACTTGGACGTGATCGCTAGGCATTGCTATTGGAAGAGACAGGAGTGGGATGGGAACTTTTGTCGATTTGCGAGAGAGATGCAAAGGGCACTCAAATTCTGTCACTTGTCCATTCCATTAAACCACCCTCCCGCAAGCTGTTGCTGCCTCGCCGCACACCTCGTAGCGTACACTAATTGTAGTGTATGCGTGGGTGTTTGATTTGCATTGCAGGACATCAAGGTCGAAGGGTTGGATGTGATGAAGGTGCTGATGGAGCGGAGAAAGGCGGAGTTGAAGGAAGAGGAAGAGGCAGCGGAGGCCAAGCAGAGGACGGACAGAGAGGCAATATGATGAAAATATACACCAAGTAGATTCCCCTTTATGTGTTGGGCGAACACCAACCACAACACGAGTAGATAAGAATGCTGGCGCAGTCGATACATACCAGTGCACGTTTGAAGCGTTCCTAGATTCAAACCGATAGGATTGACGTGGTATCCTACTATAATACGAAGATAATTATTTTGTCTCAGCCGCTTCTTCTTTCAGCTCCTCTGCCTCTAGGAATGAACAGTTGTCTTTATTTTGAGGCGTTGCGTAATTTCTCAGAGTCTGTAGACTATGGCGAGCCAAGGGTTGACTAAAGATCTTTCAGCCTGACAGTATCGTGCAAATGGGTACTAGTAGCAGGCGCCGTAAATCACGAATGAAACGTCGGTCTTAACCTCTCGTTTTTTGCTCTTGCATTATTACGGCATTCCATTTTGTTCAGGCGCTTGTTGCGGCGCAACTCAAGATGGGGTCTGACCGTGAGTCACGCAAGCGGGCATGGGAAGAAAATGAGCTGTCGTCCCTCGCCAAAGCCATCGTCAAGTTCCCCGCAGGGTCTCAAAACCGTGAGTTTGTTGTGTTTGGCGCAGCTGTTTATTGCTTATTGCGCGTGATACATTGCGTGTTCATCTGTTAGGATTGTTTGATGAGTGTAGAATATTGTTCTTGGTGGACCGCGCTCAAAGTCGGGGCTGGAAGGATTGTCACTGAAGGTTCTTGTGTGTTGCACTCGTGATCCATAGCTCGCATCCTGCTCAAGTTTAGTATCAACATGGGTAACAAGTCGATCAAACTATAAATAGAGGTTATTTGCTTGAGAAGCATAGCCGTTACGTAAACCCAACGTCGATCAAGACTAGACTACGACATATGGAAACACGTTCTTGATGTCGACGGTCGTGTCTGTCGGCATAGGTTGGGAGCACATCTCGCAGTTCATCGCTCAGGCGACGCGCGCCAAGGATCCCTTCAGCAAGGAGGACTGCATCGCCAAGTACCAGCAGCTTCATGCTGCTCCTGCAGGGCCTCAGAAGGTCGTGGCTCCAGCGGTCGCGGCTGCTTCCTCTTCGGCAAACGCCAGGTCTGCGCCGGAGCGACCCTCTCGCCGAGAACCTAGGGTGAGCGCCTTTGTGTTTGCGTCTTGTAATGCGTGGCACAGATTCTGCATTTGCTTCGTAGCGCTGCGATTGCTTGCATTCTGGAACGGTTCCATCAAGTCGTGTCTACTGGTGAAAGTGGGTCCTTCAAACCATGGACAAGAAACAAGAAACAAACCGAACAAACTGTTGGATACCCAAAATACCCTCCGAAACAGGAGGACGTGTGGAGCCAAGCCCAGCAGCAGCAGCTCGAGACCGCGCTGGCCCGCTTCCCGATGGGCATGGATAAGAACGAGAGGTGGGCTTCCATCTCCGCCGCGGTTCCCGGCAAGAGCAAGAAACAGTGCGTCGAGCGCTTCAAGTTCGTCAAGACTCAACTTCTTGCCAAGAAGAAGGCGGAAAAGAAGGCGGCAGAGGCGGCCGCGGCAAATGGGGGAACGGAGGCAACGGCCGCAAAAAAGTAGCGATCCTGTTGTTGGTTGGATCCATTTGGAAGACAGACCGATGTGCGCCGCCTCCCTTCCCAATCAAAATGAAATCGTTTGTGTTTTCGTCATCGTTGTATCCATCCAGCTGGACCTCCTGTAACCACCACGGTATTGGACAAACTTCGATATTTGTCGTTGTTTTGAGCACGTCTGCAAATTGTTGAGAGGATCGATGTTAGTCTGTTTTTGGGCACGCCACAAGTTGTTGAGAGGACCATTTGTTTGAAGTGAGACTTCATGGAGTGCTGCAGCAGACTTCTTCAAGGCACCATTAAGACAGGCCGAACCGGTGGAGGCATTTGCCCGTACACGGTTTCAGTCGATATATCGGCTTAGATTTTGTCTCCGTCGTTTGCTGTTTTTGTCTTCTGTTGTATGGGAAATGTTTGCCTTTTTTTCTACCACACAGGGTAGCTTTGGTGAGTGGACAATTTCAATTTTGTGCATCTCGGTGATTTCCCCCAAGTGCTTCAATGAGTGGAGCCGACTGTGGAATGTTAACAGCCGGGAACAGGCGTAACGGCGAGGAGTTGCACACTACGTGGCACACGTTCGGCCCGAATCCCCCCGGTTGTGGTAATTTTTTTCCTCGTACAGCAGTAGGGTCTGTTTTTTCTTTTTCGGACGGTGCAGTGGGGAGATATAGCAGTTCAAGTCGGTGGCATGAATTGGTAACCTCTTCCGGCTTCATTTCTTCTTGGCATCGGGTAACTGAGGGAGGGAAGCCAACAAATCAAAATCTATGTCGCTGAAGCTGCCGTTCAAAACGAATATTTGTACACGCGTTTCGAGGGTCGACCGGTTGAGGCTGGCTGCTCATGTTTCTTCCCGTGGTGCCCATGGATGACCTGTGGCACTGTGCAACTACCTGAGCACGACGCGAAAGCCATCACGACCGGTTGTACAAACGGCTCGGATCGTTTGTGTTTTTCTTTTTACTTCAAGGAAACGAATGAGATTTTCCCTAATGAAGGGTCAAGCGGTCTTCCACCGCCCCGTTGACAAGACGAGGTTTGATCCTCTTCCTCTTGAGATCGCCTCCCAATTTGTCACATGGTCGATCCATGTGCCGTGTGCCCGAAGCACTTTCGGAAGGACTCGTTTGGAGCGTGTGTCGGTGTGGTAAACGCACCGTTTAGACAGTTTGGCATGCCTAGGGTCGAGGTATGACTTCTGGTGGATAGGCAATTACGGAGGATGCGGAACGAAGTTTCGGGTAGGTTCTTGGTGTCGGGACAGGAGGCCTCATCCAAACAATTCCATCCAATACTTTCTGTAAGTGATCCAAAAACGGAGACGAGAATACAACAGTGATATCGGGGAGACCTCAGAAGGGGAACGGATCCGGCACGGATCCGCCCCAGCTGCAGGCCCCCAAATTACTGAGAAATGAACGAACACATTGATCATTCCCTGTTTCCCCCCAAAAGCGTCAAGGCGGAGAGATATACCTCTAGACATGAAGACTACCGAACGAAGCGGCACCACCGTAAACAGCCCGCATATTGTATGTTGTCTGTGTAACCATTCGACCTCCTTCGTCACAACCCGTTGCGGAAATAAATCACTAGTGCAGGCCATATAATCGATTGACGGTGGTTACCGGGGCGGGGGGGTAATTGGGTGGTTGGTTGGATCACGGCAGTGACGGTGGAGGGCCACGTGATATCCATAGTCATCACTTGTTGTGCAGCGTTGGGTTGGACGGCTTTGGTGAGCAATGGTTATCTCCTCTCGAGGATGTACAAGGTCTGGAGTGTGGGCATCTTCCGTTTACGCGGGGTACCGTTGTCAATGACAAAGGGTATTGAGCAGACTCTTGAATGGTTGACGATTCAACTAGTAAAGGCTGCCGTGGCCAATCCGATTGTTTTGCTTGACAAAGGATTCTAGAGGAACCAAAGCATGTCATACCAAGCAAAGTAGTTTCGACGATTTTTTCCTTCTGGGAAATTCAAAAAAATCTAACTTCTCCAGCCCTCTCTTAATCCGTTCACCAACAGAGCTCCCTTCCCTACGCGCCATTCTTTTAGTTATCGGCATTTATCTATCAAACTTCCACAATAAAGCATATTGTGGTCAATTCTTCGAAAGTCCCGCGTTGTCGAAGCGTTTCGACAAGCGCAAATTTTGCGAGTCGTTTCTCGTCTGGAAAAATCGCACGAAAATCAGCACAACTTCCTCCTTATCGAAAACCGCTGCAGCGCTTCTTGTAATCACCACCGTGACCTTCTTTCCTACACAAACACCACCCAAGCTACCAATACACCCACCTCAACGCAAAGCGACAACAGAGTCGCGCCATGACACGAACACCACCGTCGCTAACCCCTACCCCACCCAACCTTCCGCCAGCACATCGGCACGCATCGCTTTTGACATGGACTTAAGTTGGACTTGAGAAAAATTACACGACAGCCCCGGAGTTGGACCAGTCTGTGGTTTCTTCCATGCCGGCGCTCTCTTCGCCCCACACCCCACCCTCTTCCTCGAGACCCTCCTCGTAGTATTGTTCCGCATCGGGCAGCGGCGCCCTGCCGGCGCTCGTAGTGACAGCACTTTTCGGTGTTGCCGCCGGGAGTCGGGACGAGCCCAACGAGCTCTTGCCCAGCCAAGATGGAACTTCTCCAGCGGTTGGTTGTGGCTCTTGCCATCGACGCGGCGGGGGTGGAGGCGAATGCTCCTGCACGCTAGCGAGTGGGTCTTCGACGCCGTGCTTCATACGGCGGACAGGGCTCTCACTATCATAGCCTCTCCCATCTCCACCGCCATGATAGTTGCCGTTGCCACCTGAACCACCCATGCCTTCCTGCTCCTCCTGCCCCTCGTATTCCTCCTCCTCGGCATTCGGCCGGGATGTGGATGGGGGGGGCACGAAACCGCCGCCATCGTAGCCCTCCGTTGCAGCAGCCGACAATATCGGCAGCGTGGCAGCATAGCCTGCCCCTCCGGCGGCGACGAAAGGAGTTGATGACGAAGACGGGCCCGGAAACCTCTTGCGAATTGCATTAATGGCGGCCGGCGTGCCATGCCTAGCACCCCACCCTTTTCGCTGGTGGTGGACAATGAGGGATATCATGCGGGTGGGGGGGGGGGGGAGAGGAAGGTAAAAAACCCAGCCAGTGCCGAGGTACAGACAAAGATGGGCCACCCACAAATTTCCTAAAAACTTAAAAGATTGGACAGAAGCGAGACCGGCGTCTCTCCTCCTTCACTGGGAAACGCCGCCTGGAATGTAGATATCGCAAGGCAACAATTTATTACCAAAGAGAGATCCGCCGACTTCACTTTCCTCGGTCCCCCCCACCCACACACACCCGCACTTCGGGTTGGCGCCGAAAGCCGTAAAACACGCCACTTACTACATGAAACCAGAAAACCAGGTTGCCGGGGAGGGGTTGCGCGTTTGGTATTAACTCGTTGCGAGCGGGTGGAGAACCTTGGTCCCGCACAAATGGGGATGACTGCTGTACTACGTGTGTGAAGTTTCCACATACACACAACCGAAGCGTTTCGTAGCAAGTGGCGAGACATGAAATAAATCAACCCATTCGGAGATGTCATCCATATACAAGGGGAGAGAAACACGATATCAACTCGATGAACACCGCACAGGGTTGGAGCAAAGCGCCTGGGTCCGGTGGAAGCCGGGCGTGCTCTGTCCCCGGATGGTAGACTGCGAGGTCAACGGTCTTACTACTACGGCATGAAATATCAAGAGTACGCACCACACCTCCACTACTACCCTGCACCCACGGACCTGCAAAGCATGCGCGAGCTGCTGGTCAAGGACGCGCGTACATGGGGTGCAGCAGCGGACGGGTTCCCCGGAAGACAACCGTATCACTGCACCGGTTGTCTGGTTCACGGAAAGGACCTGGGCGCGGTACAAAGTCGAGACGAGACGACAAGCAGCGGTTAGCGACAAACCAAGGGGGGTCCCAACGCCAATAGTGCGCAGTAAAGAGACTCGTCCGTGCCAACACACGACGATACACTCTCTTCCACCATGTCCATGTACCGTATGCATGACAAGTCGTCAGCAAGATCATGTCGTTCCGCCCGCTCCTGCTACATGTTCGTGACTTGTGCGCGAGCAACAACGCAGCCATAGGGCACCAACAGCAACAACAGTCGGCTCTGTCACGTGGCAAACGGATCCGATGGCGAAATTTGGTCGGAAGACTGCCTACCACACCCATGTGGCGCAATTGGACACGATTGACCTGGTGTCAACACAGCCTCACACACTGACATCGCAAAACGAGACCACAAGGTCCAGTCATACGCCGTATGCAGTAAACACAAGGAAAAGCTTAGAGACTCTTCGAAAACGCACCTTGTCGCTCACAGCCGTGTGGGAGCAAAAACCGCACATGCACGTCCCGCACCGACGGCAGTGGTGCCTTCGGAGAACGAGGTTGAACGGGCGGGAGCAGACCATGCAACCCGCGGCCACCGAGTCTGGCACCCACAGCTGGTTGTTTTGCACCTTGACAGCGGGATAGTGCATACCACATACGGGAATAGACGGCAGGGAGATGACAACCAACACGGAGCAGCCGTTCACCGGCCAGTGCAGTCACGCAAGGAAAAAACATGGGGCAGAAGCAAACAAAGAACAGCATCAGGAATGACAAAAAAAGTGTCCACAAAAACTTACCAGCTGCTGGTGCCAATCGCTGTTCAGCGGGTCCTCCACAAGAGCATCGGAAGTGCCACCGCTCCTGCTCCCGCCCAACACCCCGTTTTTCCCACCGGGGTACCCCGGCTTCAGACGTACCCCCATGTTCCGAGAGCCGTCAACCCCGGCCGATATTTGAACGGATTCGGGCGGGCGGCAGCAGTGGTCGTCGGAGCAGGGCGTGGCTTGGCACTCGGGGTGAATGTTCATGCCACACACAGCGCACCTTTCGTATGGAGAGGCGGGGGAGGGGGGAGGGGGAGGACGCGGACAAGGGGTAGAAGGGTATCAGCGTATGTATATTAATAGTGCTGTACACTTTCCCTTGGGGTACCGTACGTCGTATAGAAGCCGAAATCACACCACTAGACCAGTCAGCGGGTCATTCGGACCACCCGACAAACCTTTACAGAAGTCGAATCAAACAATCAGCCTAGTTAGCCTAGTCACCCGCTGGCTAGTCAAATGGTTTGGTTTCGGCTCCTAATAGTCGCGAGTTTGGCTTGGCGTTTGCAACGAGGTTGAAAATGCTGCAGATCCCTGACAGCGGAATGCCGCGGCCAGCGAGATGACAACGTGGCGAGGATCCCTGGCCGAGACTGGGTAGCACCTGAAAATCGGAGCTGCAAAGCCGATCAAAGAGACAAACAAACCTCGCTCGTCAATGTACGTCCCCGTTATACCGAACGCGAGAGGATCTACGTATGCGACCCAGAAGTTGCTCGAAAACATTGAACCAACGGGTGGCGCACCCCCAACCCAATAAACGAAAATCAGCAAGCAACACTAAATACTGCTTCTCATATGAAACCGCACACTCACTGCAACCCTTGCTGCATGATCCCGATGAGCAGCTGCGAGCAGACGTCGCAAAAAGTGGGGGCGTAGTAGCTGTGCAGCCTAAACGAGTGCACCACGGAGAGCGTGCGGGATGCTGCAACAAGAAATCAACGAGCAAACACAGCAACGTCGACAGCAAACAACGGCAGGGGTGCGTTGAGTACTACCAAATATAAGGAAGAGAGCATGAGACAAGTGAGCACATGAGCCCCACCCCATGAAGAAAAAAAAGAAATAATTCCTTTCACGGCGTCCAGGTGGTCATCTTCCCTCGTGTGGCATTTGCCAGCAAGACCTGCGGAGCCGTTCTTGGAACGTGAGTAGTCTAGATTTACCAGCAAATTTCTTCGGGGCATACGGTGCATGCATACTACATTACTTTCCGTCCGTCCGTCCGTCCGTCCGTCCGTCCGTCCGACACACACATTTTGCATTATACAAGTATCAAACTCTGTCCGTCCATCCGTCTGTCCGTAGCACGTAAGGCGCATGCTATCTCTTGTCCGTCCCCGTGTCACGATGCAAGATAAGAATATGTCGGGTCTCCAATCCCTCTCGTCTCGTTTCACTTAAAAGAATAGTCTATGGTACCACTTCACAGCAGCGCAACTGAGAGTCGTTCGCATGCACACATAATCTAGAGCCGTTGCTGTTGTTGTCACTGCCGCTGCTGCTGCTTTAGCGCAGCTGTTTATTTCAATGAGGCACCAAAACAGTCTACCATCGCACAACACTCTTCTTCTTGTTCGTCTCACCTCCCGCTGCCGGCGATGGCCCTCTTTCCCACTCTCGTTGCCCTCTTGTGGGGGCGGCGTTACTCCCGGTAGCGCCACCATTGTTCCTTACCGCACGGCTGTAGCTCTCCTCTTCCGCAGCCGCCCCGTCAGCACCATCACCGCCACCGCTTGCAAAGCTACCGCCGGCGCTGTTGTTGTTGTGGAGAGGGTCTGTGATGCCCTTGGTGCCACCGCCTCGGTCGCTGCGCGTTCGACCAGCGCTGGCGCTGGAACGAGGGAGAATACGGGTCTCTCCAGGCAACGAAGGTGGCGTCCAGGAGTCGTCGTCGTCATCGTTGTGATGGAATCGAAGATCGGCCGGGGCAGCGGCAGTGAGGGGATCAGCATCTGCGGACGACCCCAGCGGATGGAAGGAGCTCATCTCGCCGCTCGGCTTTGTACCCGGACAAAAGGCCTCTTGTATGTACCTGCAGCGACGTTTGTTTTGCGTTTCGGTAATCGACCAAGGCGAGTTATGTCGTGATGGGATTGAACGAAGTGGCGTTCTCGACTAACTTGCCAACCAGAAGACTCGTGACACAGTAGACTCCTTGCACAACATGCATCTGCGGTCTTGTGTTTCCTGCACACACTTGGTAGCTTCCTGCGCTACTCGCAGGAGGCAGGTGCTGGGAGGACACCTGCCTCTGTGTGTCGAACATGCGGAGGGATTTCAAAAATGCCCAGCGCTCGCCATACCTGTACTGAATTGAATAAGTGCTTATCCTATGAAACGCGCCAAGTTGCGTGCGGCCTCTCGAGTTCCCCGTAGCAGGTGGGACGTCTTGCGCGGTAGATTGTTCAAACGCGAAACTAAGTTGAGGAGCACAGAGAGAGGAGGGGGGGGAGCGGAGGGGAGGAACAAAAAAACGTTCTTGGCGCCAGATGGAACTCCTTGGGCAGCGGAAAATCTCCGTCCGCCGCCTGATGTGTTACAGCGCACGGGCCTCGTGCCACGCGTTGAATTGTTTGGGAGATTGGCCGGCGTGAGGCTATGCGAATAACTCATAATGAGGTGCTGCGCTTTACAGTGAAACGCGTCCTATCCCTTGCAACCCCAACCCTCCTGTTATTTCAAAGCACGTTCGCACTACATGTACATGCACGTACCCCGGCACGATACGGCCAGCATGAGCGAAATGGCGGCGCACGCCAGCCCCGTTCCTTTTGCTTCTCCTCTACCCGTACTCTCCAGGGGAGGCTTGGTGCTAGTACGACATCTGTGGCGGTTGTTGAGGGAGAGAGGCGATCAGCAAGGCTTGCAGGAGATCACTTGCTACGGCCCGCGTTTGAACAGCTGGAGAATGAATTGCTGAGGTACGATCATGTGCACTTGCAACACTGGTAAAGGGGCGGCTGGTTCGGATGTTGAAGGAGCGGAGGAAGTCTGCTGTAAAGGGAATGTCGTAGGTACGTACGTACCGTTTGCGACTGGCATCTCTAGGAGCTAACATGGTAATCAACCAAACCAGCCAGGTGTAACATGAGCTAGCCGGTGAGGTTGCTGCGGTATGAAGACGCGGTCGAACAGGGATCGTGTGACGACGGCTGTTGCCTGGGTGAACGTTTGAACTTTTCCAACTCTGCAACACCTGCTCTTTGGAATGATTATACTTTCCGAAAGGAGTGTAGCTCACTACCAACTTTGAAATTGCTGGGGCTGTTCGTATTATTCCATATTTAGTTTACATGTGTAGAAGGTACTGGGCAGAGAGAACGGAACGGTTTTTACTGTGAAGACAACAACATCAAAAACTTCTGCAGTACTTGTGGTCGACATGATGTACAGAGTACTGGTGTTTATATAAACTGTGTTCTATGGGAACTCGCAGTGAAAAACATGTGCGCGGGTGAAAACGTTTCGAAGCACTGCGCCAATTCCGAATAGGTTCCCTGGGGGTATAAGGAGCTTTACTCTGTCCTCAGCCGAAGTCGGGGGAGTGCGTTACAGCAGTCGTGACGGATTCATCCAGCCTCCGTTTCACGTTGGTCTACATGCAGAAATGTATAGAATGCAAGTCTACATGGTTCCTTCGCAGGCACAGCAGTGTGACAAGTGATTTCTGAACGTAGCGCCCTCACGTGCCCCCGTCACTGCATAGGTAAAGAACGAAGAACCTCGGTTGTTTGTGTTCGTCATGTAGGGTTTCGCGAGTACTCGGTGTACTTCGCACAGCGGTCACTGGCTTGTTGGCTGGTTATGTATGTGCTCTGCTGGTCTGCTCCCTCACCACACTCTCCACTGCTGTGTTATCCCCCGGGGAAATCCGCACTCCGTCGCCTACAAACACAAACAGGGAGCCCTTCACGGACAGTAATTGGAGGAACTCGTGCGAGTACGTCCTGCGCGTGGCCGTCTCTCTGGCGTCATGCGTCGAACCCTTCGCCGAAACACCGTATCTCCCTCTCGAGCACGCTGAGGCGCTCTCGATGGTCACTCGTCTATCTAAACGGTGCAGGGAGCTCGACAAGGGCGGCGTGATAAACGAAGGGAGTGGCAAGAAGGCGGGGGGAGGGGAGTTTCTGGGTGTGCCAGCCGGCCTGGGTTCTTCGCTCAAGTACTGCATCAAGAAGAATGGATTGGGAAAGGCGGCTAGCGAGGTGAGCGGGCGTTTCCTAGGCCTTCTTTGTCTGCGGGACGCACGTGAGCACCTACGGATGTGCCAACAGCGTGCCAGCCGCCCAGTGCTATCTCAGAGATGGGGTGGGTTTGTGAGACATGTAGGCGGCGAGGGGAGTCGGGCTTCCGGTCGCCCTCCTACTGAGCTCAATAGTGCACTATTACACTTTGGGTGGACACCAAGCGTTGGATTTCGGAGGACGCTCTCGCTTTGAAGCGTGTGCTGGTGCTGTTTTTCTACCCCAAGCTGTGGCAACCCGAAAGCCTGCTGATGCTCTATTCACTCGTCGTTTTCCAACCCGAGAGATACGATCGTGACCTTTTAAAACAACGTTTGCTGATGTGTGAACCGGTTCCGAGTACATTTTTTCTAACGTCAGGTACCGTGGATTTCGAATATGCAACAGAGTGACAACGGCTTTCCATTGCCCAATACTTAAGGCTTTAAGCGTTGCTAGAGCGACGCGTTCTACGTTTTTAAGTATTGGGTCACCCATGTTTGTGCCTGGTACGTGAAACACTCAGATAGCTCGGGATATACTCCCGTCATACGACTGCACCAGGGAGAGGGCGGCAGCTATCCGAGGCGTGGAGCGATGCCTGAGCGAGTTTTGCATCGTGTGGTCGACCGCAAGGCTGCTCGATTCCCACGCCGAGTCCGCCACAAAGAGCGATTTCGTTTTCCACCTCAAGCCGCTTCTAGAGCACACCGCTGCTCGTGACCGCCACGAGGTAGGCGAGGTGGAGAGGATGCGTGGTTGTGTAACGAAAGGGGGGGGCGGTAGCCGGGTCGAGTGATGTTGTGAAGGGGAACGCTGCCAGCATTAACTGAATGGAGCTGTATAGGGCGTGCGGGAGGGCGGAAGCGTTGAGAGTGAAATATGAGAGGAAGGAGTGCATGTTGTGCTTCTTGAAGCGTTATTCTTGCGTTACCTGGAACGGGAGGCCGGCGGGTCAGGACTCTAGTTCTTATTGTTTCTACTGCTTTGTGGTTGTTGACCAAACGTACGTTATCTCATGGATGGCGTCGTCGCTTTGTTTGCCGCAGGCAGTGCTAGTGCTGTGCAGAGGGATTTTCACGCCACAAAATGATGTGGTGGAGTCCAAGTGGGAGCACCATGTCTTTGCAGCGGTGTTCCAACCGAAGTCGGGTGGATCTTCTCTGGCCAGCGCTTTTGCTGAGGTGAATAACTTTTTCTTCCATGTGTCATTTCTCTCCTTCTCTCAACCGCCGTTTTCGTTGTTGTGTTTAGCCCTCGCTTCGTAGAGTTGTTTATGTCCGTCACATCTGTCTCCAGGGATATTCTGCGCTGGAATGTTTCTTACCTACGAAGAGAGGGTGTTCATGCACAATTATCGTGCTGTGCATTCAGCAGCAGGGTGGCAGTGTGCAGGCCTTCCCCACCAGACCTTGCTCTCACTGTCGAAATTAGAAGGCGCAGGTAAGTGTTTGTTCATGTGAGGAAGGTTGACTGGATACGCCACTTGGTATTGACAAGTGTCACTGATGAACGCTAGTGACAAGTGTCACTGGTGAACGTTGTGATATTTATCTTGGCTGGTCGCCTTCTTGATTACCACAGCAGTATGTTCTGTCAAACACGTGTGTGTCATTTGCCGGCTTGTTCAATCTTTCCGTGATGTCAAATGATATGGGAATACTGTGCATGGTTACGCCATCATGCAAATGTAAATGTACGTTTGCAAGTGAACGGACAGCACTGTAATCCAGTGTTAAGATAGAGTTATTAGAAAATGAATGTGCGGCGTGTGCTGCCTCTCTCTAGGCAAGAGTACGAGCTGCACACGACCGAGATGCCCGATCGGCACATGTTCCCTCAACACAAAGGAGTTTCGAAAAACGTTTCTACAAGAATTGACATTTCCCCTGACTTGGATTGTGATGCTTACGCCACACCTTACCGCGACCGACCGTATTTTGGTGACCGTCGTGCTCGTACACACACAAGGTGGCGTGCTCACCACGCATCGGAATTCACTCCGTTGATTTTTGATGGTTTCGGCTCTTCTTCGTGGTGAGGCCTCACCATTGCTTACCGCTAGGTATCCTTATCCTCACTTGGTGCCACCTTACGCACTCCGCCAGTGTTCCGCCTCACTCGACTTTCTGACTCAGTGCTGTCGTGTGTCCGCTTCACCTGTTCCTCCCCAACCTGCTTCCGGGACTGCTGTCATGCATGGACGTATCAGGTTCAAGAAGGGAGCGCAGAGCATCCCCGAGCGTTGCGGGCCGCCAGGCAGGCGTTTCCCTTCTTGGAGCCTCTCACAAGGTGCGTGGAACTAGCTCCCCCCGAGCTCCATCAAACATTTCAGTACGGCGACAAAAAAATATTTTTTGGTTTCAGAATAGCGTTGCCACACCCGTTTTTTTTATCCGCAAAATCCCACGATTGTCGATTTAATGTTATGTCTTTCGTGACAAAGACGGCAGTGAGGTTTGACTGCTTTTGTAGAGGGTGCAGACTCGCTGCGAGTGCATCAACACCCTCCTTCACTTCGCGTCTTGTCTCTTCGTGTCCTTGGCTAGAGACTGACTGGATGCTGAATGCTGTGTTCGCTGTTTCCGTTTTGAAGGTGGTCTTGGCGCTGCCGGACACCAGAGACCTCCTCTACTGACAACGACGGCGAGACTGGCACCGGCGATGTGAATGAGGATGACACCAAAGCGGGACGGGAAGGGAGTGGGAGGAGAAAGAGGGGGCGTGACAACACGGGAGTTGCATCGCTATTGGTGGCGTTGGCGAAGGCTGACCCTTCGGGAGAGACAATAAAATCCATGATGCGGTGGGCTATCGAGGGTCTGATGCCGGAACAGGTGCGGTTGCCTACTGTGTGGTAGATGTATTCTTGCTGCATCCGTTTGGCGCCTGTAAATTTTTGTGGCAAGAAATGTCATGTCAATCTATACTCCTCTAGTGATAGTTGAGTACTCGGTAAAACCATGTATACGTGGTAAAACTAAGTGTACGTGCTGGTGCGTCTCAGGTATTGCACTCCTGCAGAACATAGCCATTCCCTTCAACACCCCCGTCTCCAGAGCTTACCAGCTATTTCCATGGGTATGTTTTGTTTTTTGCGGACTGGGTTCCACTATCACTGACGGCTGCTGTTGTTTCTTGTTTTACTCTGCATGCAGGTGGGGGAAGCTCCGTGGAGTGCCACCGGCACATTGGCGGACAGAAATGAGGTGCGAAAAGACAAAGGAGAAACGCAAAGATAGACTTGATGAGTTCCAATAGGTAGATACGAGGGCGAGCAGCGATACGCAGACAAACATTGGTGCAGGACAACACCAAAGAGGGAAGGTGTCGGCCACTTTCGTGCTTGCCTTAATGTGGATCGCTGTCCTCCTGCACACCAACCGCTCCTAGTCGTACCGTACCATGTTGGAAACCGAGTAACGTTTTCCGCGCGTTCCCCGGGTTATGAGCATCTCGGGAGATGTACGACTTTCGAGGACATGTGAACCCTCCGATGCCTTGTCACACCACAACACACTGGGAGAATTTTCGTGTTGTTTACCGGCACGCTTGGCAACTTGTCTGTCCTTCATTTACTCCATGACGAGAGCTGTGTGTCACCCACGCCCCTTCTCCCATTCTGACCATTACTGTAGACATTCCCCTGTTTCTTCTCCCCTAACCTGGCCGGCTTTCTACCCCGAGATCTGTCCTGTGCTTATCTTACAACTTACCGTTGTAGCTCAATAGACAGAGCCCTCTGCTTCACGCAGAGAAACGAGGGATCGTAACCCTCCAGCGTTTTTGGCTTTACGTGTACTGTCATTGTTAGCTTAGTCTTGTCAGTGCACGCCAAGCCGCAACTTCTTGTGTTGAGACGTTGAGACACCATGCTGGGCGCAGTAGGAGTGAACGAAACTGAGCCGATCGACTCCAACCCACGCAACAGCGACGGTCCTGTTGCAGCATACCCTAGTTATTTTTTCTTTTTTCCCCCTCGATGGCTCCGGCGACCTGTACTAATCACCCGGACGACATGAGATACCACGTCTCCCACAGAAAATCACGACCAAAGACAATATTTCTTAACGCCAAGACGTTAGAACTAGTGGTTTCTTAAAATATCGTATGCGGTGTGTATTGGTTGCGTGTAGCCCTGAAGGATGAGGGTTGTAGGTACGACCCCGACTTGTGCTCGAATATCCTTATGACCTTGAACGAGCCAACATCTCACGGGGGCCTACAATATGCAATCGTACACCCATAAGCAGGTCGCGCGCTGTCTCATGTCAACTCGAGAAATGTTTTCCGACTGTCGAGACGCTAGACACCTCAGCTGGATGCGGGCCTGTCGGGAAGCTGGGGACGTGCTGAGTCTACTGGTCGGAGTTCTGGATGACGATGGCCTAGAAGGAGAGGATTTGACGAGGTTCGTGATGAGACAGCGGCATGGAACAAACGCACGAAACGATAGTCACTGCAACAGTCAAGAGCAAAGCGTACCGTAGGCGATGACGTGGGTCCTCTAGCAGAAAGACGGATAAAATCGTAACACCTACATGCGTATGAGCATTCGCCTTACTACCGTTGTTGTGTAAATACCAGAATGGCATTTGTTGGCCTTTCTGTGTTCTCTGTTCTGGCGTACTGATCGGGTGTGCCGTATTCTACACACGTTAAAATACCCGATGTCCCGGTGATAAGATGATGTCATTGCTATGATCACCAGGTGTATTCTTTTGTGGAGGGTGTGGAATTTTCGGTGACCCGGGCAAGAAAAGAACATGTCGTTGGGAGCTGTGAAGGGGTAGCGTAGACAGGGTGTGTGGCAACCAGGGGTATGTGAATCACGCACGTACAGCATGGAGCATGGTAGTAAGGGGACGTGATACCAAGGGTTTGTGACACCTGAAGGTACATGGGTCCAAAGGTTCATCACCGCGTTACGTGAAATTCGCTCAAGCCGGGGATGAAACCCAGAAATTTAGGTTGGCGTTGAAGATGTAAATATCATCATGTGTGGTGTTCTGCGGGTGTGGTATCTTGCGTGTTTTAATCTGGAACATTGCTGTAGAAGTGGCATTTTTTTCAACGAGAGTGTCTCGCTTCCCAACTCCCAAGGCGGATAATACCATCCTCGACAACGTATGCCGGCGTAGTTTTCAGCTTGAGGTCTCACCGCCTTCTCTGAATTATTAATGTTGTTTGTCGTTGTATATTTTCCGTCTAGTGGTTCCGCCATCGCTGTCCTCTTTAGCGTATCCAAACGGTAGGTCCAGGCATGCAGTACGCGCAGTCAACGTCACCATGGCATGATCTTCACTGTCCCTACACCTCATCTGTTTGTTTCGTGCCGAACCTCCCCCCGGACACCCCCCCCCCTGCCGCTCCTTTCATACCATACCCCAATACCCACTACACAGAGAGGTTAACCACGCAATGTTCGTCACGACGTTCCTGCGGAGTATGCCTGAGGGTGCCAAGGCCAGACGCGGGTACGAGAGACTCATAGGCTCGGGAAGAGTCCCCGGCGAAGACATGTCCTTCAGCGCCGAGAGGGGGTCGAGGGAAAGAGTCACCAGCTGGAAGGAGGCCGCGAGGGTGATGGATCTCGGAATGGCCTCAGTTCTCCGCGTGTCCGAGGTAGCCTGGTGTGCTCTGGTCACATTTGGTGGAGGGATTGAGAGTTCGGTCATTAGTCTGAGGCTGGCTGGTGGGGAGTAATCCCGCTCAAGTAATGCTGATTAGTTTTCCTCTTCAAGACAGACCGAAGAGGAAGAGCGCCAGGCTTTTTTCCTGTGTTGGTTATTTGGCTGCAGTGTTTTTGTTTTGATACTGCACCTCGAACGTCGGTATGATACTTGTCTCTGTTGTCGCAACTCCTGTGCTTGGTGTTATTATTGTTGTTGTTGCTGCTACTGCTGCTGCTGCTGCTGCTTTTTTCGTTTACTTGTGTTCAGGACAAAATTCGCACCGAGAAATTCCGGCAAGCGCTTTCAAGCGTGCTGAGGACATGGCGATCTCCTCAAATCCTGGCAGACTACTACAATATCCAACAAAAAGAACGAAAGGTGACAGAAAGTTGGACCACCAACGAAATCCTCTTCCAGCTTTCTTTGAGCGTGTTGGAAGCTCCCTTCCTATTCTCAGTTCTCGCGCGTGCTTGACGTGGCCAAGAGCCTGAGGAATGAACTATGTGCGCTCGTCAGAAAGTCATGTCAGCGCCGTCCGCAAGTATGACTGTGGCAATGACGAGATGATGATGTTCCCTTCTCCCCTTCCCCGTTTAGGTAATGGGGAACTACATTCGATTCCTCAGAGCTCTGCTAGGGGCATCGGACGAGAGCCTGCACGATATGCGCTTCCGGGACCCGGCAAATGCGCAACAGATGCAGCACCTCCCCGCTAGGGCACGTCAGCTCTGGGAGGTGAGAGTGGCTAAAACATGCACATTGGTCGGGGGCTACAATTTGTGCACTGCTCTATTTATTCCCGTACCCCCATGACGTTTATTGTCAACAGAGTAGGTGGTGAGAGGGTGGGCTTTGAGCGTGCTATGCTGCTCCTCTGTTCGAGCCTGCCGGTGAGTCTTTGGCTATGCTATACCTAGTGTTCACAATTGGTAATTACTAAGGCTCGGGCTCATGTGAATATCGCCCGGCTGGGCTGGTAGTGTGTGGATGCATCGAGAGAGAGAGAGAGCGGAGGGGCCTTTGAAAGCACGTCGTCATGAATGACCTCTCCGACTGGAATCTCTGGCATCGGTATCAGTAGCTTAGCACCCGACCAGGTGTGAGGTGCCACCGTAGATACAAGGCTCGTGGTGATTTTGCGACGTGTAGACTTTCCCCCCAACACGGACGTATAGCAGCTGTTTGGTGAATCCTGTACCCCTCAGAACCAAAAAAGATAATCTCCATCGTCGAAGTTTTGGGGTCAATCTCTCTGTGCTAGACTGGTACAGAGTCAACTCCAAGCACGGTTATCTGTCTAAAGATGGCTGGGCCTGGTCATGGTGTGTTGTGGTACAGCTGTAGCCTCTACGCTACTCTCGTACTGAAACGTGCGGTAACCCATTGCCGTATGCAAAAATTCAGCAGCTCCATGCCAACCAGGGCGCAGTGCTCCGACGAGAAGTTATGCCTACCCTAGTGCGGTGAGATTAACTCTAGAACAGGTACACAAGTCATTCCTTGGAATTGCATCCCATGGTGCGCCCCCGAAAGTGAAACTGCAGCTGTTCCTTTGATGTCATGCACTGAAATGTGTCTTGAACTAAAAAATTCATCGTTTTTCCCGTCTTTGTCAGGCCGAGCCGTGCACGCTGGCGGGTACTACAGATCCGTGTGTGATATTCCGTATGGGAGAGGACACAAGGTCTTGCATGGGCATCCAACGTTCTTGCATAAAGACGAACCGTGGGCTCCTAGGGTGAGCACAGTAGGGCGAGAGGGGAGGGGATACGCCAGAAAGACGGCGCTATCCCCGATTACTTACCTATGACACACGCCCATTATTGGGAGTTTCATGCTTCAAGACACCCAACACCCCCCTTGCTTCTTCCCCTCTCCTCTGCTCTTAATCCTTGCCAATTATTTTGCTTCCGACCAATATCTGGAACCAAACACGTCTATCATACGGCCACCCCCCGTTGGCCTCTATCACAGCTACCTCATCCAAGGGAACGTGCGTTTCGTCGGAGTGCAGTCTACAAGGGATGGCCGTATGGATGCCCGCGCCGTATTGAGAATGTTGGTGCGCTCGGACAACAAAGAAGCCGTGCTTTTCATGGACAAGATATACTACAGTTCCAACCGCGACGCATCTTTAGAACGGCAGGTGAGTCAGCCATCCGCCATCCAAGGATCTCCGGTCACCTCTGAAACACAATTTGCGCTGCAAGTTTTTTTTCCGATCAGGAAATTGCGAGGGGAATCAGTAGGCGCTGAGCTAGCCACATGCACGACGACACGCAGATGAGTTCCGTGCGGTTCCCTTCATGCCGTGTGAAGAAGACATGGTGATGTGATTAGTGACGATGGTGGCGCCAGTGGTGTGTGAAATGTGTATTGTCGTATATATTTTTGTGGTTGTTATTCAACAAGTTTACTCCTTCGTCAGGGAGTCGGCGTACGCTCCATTTGAGCTGGGTAACTACACAACAAAAGTCCAGATAACGCTACACGCCCGAAACGTGAATGGAGTGCATGCTGTATGTATGCTGTCCTGTCACTGGAGCTTACCACGCACTCGTTGGTAACGTCTCAAACACCAGTCCAGCAGCGCTTGCCGAATTAATGTCGTGCGAGAGCAACGCACACACACCCTGTAGGCTGCCATGGGCAGTGTCTCAACCCCTGGGACCATGTTATTCGAATTCCAGCTCGTTGTCGAGCTCTCGCGTGGGCGATTCTCTCTTCCTCGGCCTCTCGCCCCCCTGCTAGGTCATCGAGGAAGCAAAGAACGTAAGCGATGCCTTGGGCATTCCCCTCTTTCGTGCCGGCGACACCGTTCCGCGCCCTCCGAAGATGGAAGACGATAAAGCTCTTGCAGGTCTAAGTGGCCCCCGAGCCATTCTTGCAAGGAGAAAGCCAAAGGTACCTTGAATTGTTGAATTGTTCCTGCTGACAGCACCGCTCACCACGAAACCTTGTGATATTAACCCCGTAGGCAAACACCGCCGTTGCAAAGCAAGAGATCCCGAACAGTCACTGTTATTCAGACCAGGAGTAGGAAAGGAGTGACCATATCTCGAAATGGGTATGGGGTCTGACACGTGTACGCCCCCTATGACCCTTCTTGTTTGGTCCTGTTTGTAGAAGCAGCGCGAGAATTTACTGATGGACGTTTCCGTGTCTTGCTCCAACCGCCCGCGAAATGCTCGCTGCATCCGTAAACTCTTCGTCAACTTCAAATTGATTCAATATCTCCATCATGAATCTCAAAACCATCGTAGTGGCGTCCATGCTCAGAGAAGAGTTCCAAGCAGAGACAACCGGTCTTTCCCTTCTTCTGTGTTCAATATAGCCCTGGGCGGGGTAGTACCCAGGGTTTGCTCTGGTGCTACTAATCTCGCTGAAACCTGCCTGCCTCTCACGTGCTTTTGCTTTCTCTGGTGCAGGTCTGCCATCTGCTAGAGGTCAACGGATTGGCAAGGTCTGTGCATTTTTCTGTTCTTGTTGACTCATCGTTGGGTGTTCCTTGTCATTGATGCTGTCGTCGTGATGTTGTTGTTGATGCACCAAAGGCGACTTGTAAGCATTCCATCGTATCTACTGGCGTCGATCCTTTCTTTGCCCGCTGCTGTCTTCCCAGGTTCGTGCACTCAGATGCTCCTGTGGCGCCCCTCGACACGGCTGGAATGCTTGTCAGAGAAGACCCAATCCCGGGTACAAACTACGACATTGGAAGACTTATCTTAGCCGAGCTGTGCTACACGGAAACGGAAAGCTTATAATAGTTCATGGCCGTCCTTGTATAACCCACGAATGACTTGCTCGCGAAGCCTGATAGAATTAGTGGATGTGCCGCCATTCTGTGGATAGAGTTGACTTGTTGATAAAGAATTTTGAGGGCCGTGGAGAAAATATGGCGTCATTGGGGGTATACGTTGTGGGTGCAGCGGCTTGTGCAAAGGGCTTTGTAAAATATGAAATCAGTCGGCAGGCACGAAATGTGGCACTGTACGTCTTGCCCTGCTGTTTAGGTGTTCGGAAAGTCTTTGTGGTAGTGTCATCTGCTTGCCGCTGGTTTTCCAGTACCTCGAAGCCAAGGTCGCTAAAACCTCGCCAAGGTCATAAGATAGGCGACGTCGCGAAGGAGGGCAGAACGCAGCTACCTGGGACTAGGTTATCTCCCGCGGTTCCTGGGGGCAGCATGTATCTCTCTCGGAGCTCTTCGCTGAGGGGGATTGACAGCAGTATCCCGAACCAACCTGCAGGCTGGCGATTTTGATTCATGTGTTGACTGGGGCCTGCGCTCCCCTTGTGGATAGAGTAAAAGAGGTCGGGCTTGCGCAGAAATGTTGTAGACAGTTTGGGAAGAGATATTTGCGGAACAAAATGGTGTCAAGGTCAGGAAAAAAATAGGCAAAATAGTCATATTTCGTTAAAATATACCGTGGGAGGCGAAAATATGCCTAAACTTCGTGCGGCACGCCAAACACCACATGGTGCACCTAGTAGCGCAAAAACTGTCTGTTAGGCCAAACCTGGAGGTGCTCCGTCTCGGCTTCTTTCGGATGGAGGCCCGGATGCGAGAGTCACGATCTGAGAACGGTGTACGGCCACGGATGGCAATGAAGGCCCCATTCGCGTCAAAAGGGTAGTGCATGTAGACCATCTTCGTTGTTGTTCTTGTCTTCAAACCAAAAGGGCGAAGCAAGATTGACCATTCTGCCTAGAGGGTTTGTCTCTACGCGCCCTACGTATGCCCGGGGAGCTCTGTCGGGTATATGACCGATCAGGCAAATGTCCCCCATACACGCAACAGGTTTGACGGTGTGGGCCGGTCAGGCAACCCGCACGGTCTTCCTTCTGTAGGTAGACCAACTAGACCTGAGAGGATACGACATCTACTGAAACAAAGACACACTCAAGGTCAATACATACCAGTGATTGGGTCAAGCGCGTTCCTCAGGTGCAAACAAGCCGCACGCAGACAAGAACCAAGACACCAAAAAAAGGAACTGGGAACAGTGCGCCCCTTCGATGTACCCTCTCTCAGTCCTTTCCCTCCGTCCGCACGCTTTCTTTCTCCGGATTGCCAACCGTTCTTTTGCCGCTCGGTTACCGCGCGTACTCTGGTAGCGTCCATGATTCTAAACCAGACTTAACTACAAGTAGAGACGAATTCAAATGTTGCACGGGAGGGATGATATCCAAGTCGGCAACAACCAGCTTCAAGGACATGCTTCCAAGTGTATCGCAGCATTGACTAGCATGCCAATCACCGCTGCTGGGGTGGTAGCCCCCCATTCAAATGGCAGAGACACGGCACGGCAGGTCTAGACACCAGTAAAACAAGTCTTACAAACAAGGCTGTTGCCGTGAGAAAGTGCTTGGAAAACATGCGAGCTTCAGAGCGGCAATGTTTGTACATGACGCGCAATGCACACGTGTAGGGAAACAACAAGAGTACCCTTTCTGCTTCTGGTCCCTGGCCTCACCAACGTGGAACTGTGGAGCATGCATTTTCCCAAGCAGGGCGCGGAGCAGAGGTATGAAGGTGATTTACCCTTTCCCTCCCCTCCCTCTTCCGAGACTCGAAGGCACTATGGGGGTGCTTTTACTTCGTACAAACTACTCGAATTCAGGGCAGAAGAAACACAAGGCCCTTCGACGTCCTTGAATTGGGCATCCTCGTTGTTTGTGGTTGATGATGGTGCTGCCATGCGAAACCTCGATACTTGCTGGTGTGTCGTCAGCGCGATAATCGGCTCCATTTCCTGCAAATACAAGCGTCACCGACATTGCGCAACGGCGGTTGTTCGTCTCAACAAATGTGAGAGGAGGCGGGTATGCCAACATACCAGCAAGGAATCCTCGTCACGAAAGTGCACCGTGAACGTGGCACGGGAACGATTGCGCACCCCTCCACCACGGCCGATCCAGTTGCAATACATCATACACACGGTGAGCTGTAACCTAAAACTTGGGTTTTAGACGCTCGGCGTCATCGTTGAAGACAATCCAATCCGAAAGGGACCACTGCTCTCCACCTGGTGGTACTCACCTGTGGTAAATTTAAATCCGCCACCGTGATCCTCGCGAACTGCTCCGGGCTGTTGTAGGGGCAGTTGACATCCCACTGCAAGCGATCTCGAAAAATGACTGATCGAAAGCGTACGTCGATGATCACAGTCTGTATGTTTTCGCCCGCTGGTGCAATTGTTCCCTCCACTGCCCACATTGGGTTCTTTCGCCCATATTCTATCAGTTGTTGGCCAATAGACTGAGCTATTGGCTGGACAAACGACACCCCAATACCAAGCTCTGCACACGTCCTCCTCGAGAACTCTAGTGGGGATAGCTGCATCGTTCGACAAAACAAAGGGATGGAAGGTCATTGGAGAAGCGGCAGTTTCTGTGTAAGCACGTGCTATGCATTTCAATAAACAATAAATAATGATGTGCTACTCGTGTCAAAAGCATTACTTCAGGATACTGGTGGAAAAGGCCATCAACGGAAGTCTTTCCTTCACAGAAGGAGTTCCAGTGGCAAACATGCACTTGCGGTCGTGGTCCGTGAACATTCCGTACAAAAAAGAGACATATCCTGCGTACTCTGTCTTGAGCTGTCGCTTTCAGGACTACTACCATAACCACAGCAGTAAATAGTTGATAAAAAAACACAAACCCTCATGGCGCGGGTAGCCACTGATTTTGCTGTGAGTTGGGAATAGCGTACCATGAGACGTGCGTGAAATCGATACTATTCCGCGAAGAGCGCACGGCCTGCCAGGACTAACAGAGTCAAGACGACGAGGGCACAGGGTTACTGCTTGTTGCGGTAAGCATGATGCAAACTACAGGGCGTGCACCTCCAAAAAGAAATTTCTTCGCGTCTGTATATTGGTTGCGCCTGCGACAGCAGTTAATGCTGCTGTTGCGCAATCGTGGTCCTCTAACGCGGCGTACACTTGAGTTTACAGACTTGCCTCCTCCTAGGCGAAGGGTAATGTGGTGGAGTCGCTTACCGAGCTCTGGTGGATATCCCACATAACCTGAGGGTCGGGAAAGAGAGAGAGAGGGAGCGAGAGAGAGAGAGCGAGATTAGTCTACAGAGAGCGGGGTAGACGTGCTTTTACGTTCCAGTCCTTACGACAATATATTGACAACGTGTCATTTCGAGACGGAGCACCGTTCCTCATCACAATAGAAATATTCTAGCACAGTTGTCGATGCCCTTATCGCCTGAAGTCTGCAGAGAAAAGAGTGAAAAGAGCGGAGGGGGGCGTGGGCGTTGTGGGCTTTTCATGCAAAAGCGCTACACCATCGATGCGGAACATTTCACATGACATCATGCTCATATTAGCAGACAACATGGGACCCAGCCCCACCTCTACTTGGCTAAACAGCACAAATCTTACCGAGTCAACAAAGCGAACGCCACCTATTTCGACATCCACGTTGCAGCACACCACCGAAGCACCGCAGTAGCCGCTGCTGGTGATCATTCCACCTACTCGAACGAACAAGACAGAAAAGATGTGCAGCGACACCGGCGGACCGGGCGCGCACCCCGCCCCCCTGGCTAACAGGGGGGGCATCCTTCTAGTATTTCCATCTGCGTGCTCCCTTTGTCTTGGAACGCACCCACCGTCACACATTACTCACGCACGACTCACGACACCCACCAGCCATCAGCCATGTCTGCCAAAGCGATCAGGGAGTACCATGGCAAGCGCCTTGTTTCCAAGTGGATTTCGGAGTATGGCGACTACGACATCGAGAACCGCTGTGTCCAGGTTGGTCTCCAATCCGTTTTCCAGACACGTTTGTATAAAATAGAAAGTGTGACCATGGCAGGGCAGCGTTGTTCTCTTCGCTGATCTTGTTCGTTTTCATTTGTTCTTGGCGGTGCCGGTGGGTTGTCCGTGATGTGCCACTTAGCGCGTGTGCTGCCGAAAAGGTATTGTCAGTGAGCTGTAGTTGGCTGTGTATGCTGACTGCTGTGGATGTCCTCTTCTGTGTGACAGGTGAAAGCGGACATGCTCCAGGGGGGTGCTGACGCTGGCTTCGCCAAAATCGAGCAAGACAACTCCTGGCTCGCCAACACCCCGCTGGTCGTCAAGCCCGACCAGCTGATCAAGCGTCGAGGAAAGGCTGGCCTACTCGCGGTCAACAAGACCTGGCCTGAGGTGAAGGCATGGATTTCGGAGCGCATGGGCAAGAGCCAGGAGGTACGTGTACAGCGCTGTACAGATCTCGGTATTTCGTGCATTAGTATCTAGCTCTGTGAGTTTGCACGGCACCAGAGGAGGTAGCACGGTATTCGGAACAAATCGTGTAGCCTCTCCGTTGTGTGTGGATCCACCGCTTTGTGGTGCATGTCCGCCCGCGACACGCCTAGCCACGCAGCCGAAACGCGCATTCGACATCTTGCGCACGTGGAGTCGAAGAAACTGCTGCCCCTACACTCTTCTCCTCACCGCCCCCATCGACATGGTCTAGCGTACGAGTTGGACGCCTTTTACCAAGAACATGTTGGCGAGTCTTGTGGCCCAGCGGAATCTCCGCCTTGCCCGCCGCTGCGTGAAGCGTTAAGAAGTGACAGAGCGGAGCTGAAGCACGCAACCACGCTCGGCCTCCTGCTTTGTTGTGCTCTTTGCCTGACAGGTGGAAGTCGTGACAGGCATCCTTGACACATTCATCGTCGAACCGTTCGTTCCCCACGAACAAAGTGACGAGTACTACGTGTGTATCAACTCCAACCGGGAGGGTGAAGAGTTCTTGTTTTGCCACGAAGGAGGAGTCGATGTCGGCGACGTCGACGCAAAGGCAGACCGGCTCCAGGTGAGCAGAGAGTTGTGTACACCAATTGTGCGCGCAATTGCGTGATTCACGTACAGCAGTGCTGGCTTTAGACAGCAGGGTCCGGAACATGCACGCATGACGCGGCTGGTCTGTTGGTGCTATTCCTCCGCAAAAACGTTGCCAACTAACTCCAACGTCGTCACACAGCTTTCATGAAACTATACTTTGTATTCATATTTCTTCGTAAATGGTAAACGGGGCGGTCGACCACGGCATATCATCACGACGGGTCTTGTGCTTGAACATCGGCTACGTGCTGAACGTTTCACACAGGTACCGACCGGTCTGGAAGCTCGCGCTCGAGTGCAGTGCTGAACGACTGGAGGAACGGCATCATGAACCATAGTTGCGCTCGATAACGGCACGCAGACACACAACCTTGCAGAAAAAAAAAAGAAAACATAACCTTGCGCTCCACACGTTCGCCGACAGACTGCAATATCGCAAGACTTCGTGCCACATAACCCTTGATCTCTTGACACCCTCCACTCCGTTCTCTTTATTCTGAATCCCATGTAGGTGCCGATCGGAGACAAGGCGACTGCATCCGACATCAAGGAGGCGCTCCTCTCGAAGGTCAGTCGCGGATGGCTTCAGCTGCTACTGCCGTGGTCGGCTCTATGATACGATGATACGCGCTCTAAAAAATTGTTTGAAGTCGTGCGAAGCGTGATTTTGTCCGCACCGGTAGCGGCCGTTCTCACAACACTTTTCCTCCACATGTTCCATGTGCGACGTAAGACACCAGCCCCCCGAAGATTCGATATGCCTTGCGGATATTACAAAGTGCGACACCAGTGACAGTTGGTTTTTAATTTGCCTCAACACTGCTCGAAGTGCGGCCAAAAGTGGTAAAACATTTCGATAACATGGAATACATCCGTGCTTTTTTTCAAACATCATCTGAATACGGGAGTGAACTAGCTGGTGCTGTATCTATGGGGAATATCGGTGTCTCTCTCGCTACTGAAGAGCTACGCCGGGGTCGCGCAGAACAAATTCTCAGTGGCTCGATACGTTTATTTTTCCCCACGTACACTCACGGCTGCGCCCGCTATGAGCCCCATTTACTGAAAGTGTCTTCACGGTGTTAAAACGGGTGAGATGCGATTGTTTCGATCTTGGGTGCACGAGGCGACTCCACCGAGTCGGTTTCTTGTTGGCAATTTCGCACCAGCCATGACACAACCGACACGTGCACCCAGCCATCTCGGCCATGTGTAGCCTGTAAGTTCCGCCGTTTTCATGAATTTTCAGGCGCACTCATATCTTTACGCGCAGGTTGCCGGTTCTTGGTTTTGTCGCAGTTGATGGAAACTGCACGTAGCTCATGATTGCCTTTGCTTTTGTTGCTCTTGTGTTCGTGCAGGTGCCAGAGAGCCGGCAGGACATGCTAGCTGATTTCCTGGCAGCGTTGTTCAAGCTGTACATCGACTTGAACTTCGTGTACATGGAGATCAACCCCATTGTGGTTGTGGGGGAGCGAATCACGCCCCTGGACATGGCCGCCAAGATCGACGAGACCGCCTCGTTCTTGTGCGGCCCGAAGTGGGGGGAGATTGACTTCCCTGCTCCGTTCGGTGAGACAACCATCATGTAGCATAACCTTTGTCGAGTGGTAGGTACGACGAAGGTGCTTCGTGCTGCTTTGTAGGGCAGCTGTGCACATTATTTCCTCGAAACCGATTAAATGAGGTCTCGTGCACTGCCGCAGGTTGCGAGTTTTTTTAACGATGGATGTAAATCGTCACCCCACCGATCAGGTCGCCCCGAATTCCCCGAGGAGGCCTACATCAAGAAACTTGACGGGAGCACCGGAGCATCCCTGAAACTCACCATTCTGAACCACAGCGGGAGGGTGTGGACGATGGTGGCTGGTGGAGGTGCGTCAGTGGTGTACGCTGACACTATCTCCGACTACGGCTATGGCAAGGTGAGGGTGATGCTCATCTGGTACGGATGAGTTCTTGTGCAAGATGTATGTCTTGCGTGCGTCGAAGGTCACTGCAGACTTACTTCCGGCACCATCAAGGGATCCCTAACAGTTCAGCAAGCGCATCTCACCAGGTCTTTGTCGCTAGCTGCTTAAGATATGGATCTACCTTCCGACCATGCCGCGAACATGCAGGAACTTGCCAACTACGGAGAGTACTCTGGCGCTCCGTCGGAACAGATGACGTACAACTACGCTAAGACGATCCTTGGTCTCATGACCCGGGTGAAGGACGACAAGGGCAAGGTGGGACTTACATAGTACGCCGCCGTCTGTTATTTTTCTTGGTCTGAACGGTATTAACATGTAACAGTTGCTAGCGGGAACATGCGCATTCGAAGGGACTCGTAACAAAACTTTTTTCATGCGTTCCTTTGTTGTACATCAAATCCCAATCGTTGAGACGTATATTTCACAGCAGACGAGACGGCTAAGTATATGGCAAATTTGATTTACATGTTGACACGCCCGTGTCCAGGTGCTCATCATTGGAGGAGGGATTGCCAACTTCACGGACGTCGCGGCCACGTTCACTGGCATCATCACAGCGCTCAAGCAGTACGCGGAAGAGCTCCGCGACGGCAATATCTCCATCTGGGTCCGACGAGCGGGCCCGAACTACCAAGAGGTATGTAGAGATCCCCGTGTTGTTAAGTGTGCAGCTATGCATAGCCCTGCGGTACTTGCCTGTAGAGACCGTTGCGCCGCCTGTGATGCCTACTTTCCGCTGTATCTGCTCGACCAATTATCCCGGAATTACAGGTGCTCGCAGCCTGTTTCACACTCGTGTGTCCGCTTGCCGCGTGTTTATCATGATTCTGGTGAAACACAGGGACTGCGTAAGATCCGTGAGACCGGAGAGTCCATCGGTGTACCGATCCGTGTGTACGGCCCGGAGACCCACATCACTGCTGTCGTTCCGATGGCACTGGGGCTTGTGGATGGAGCTACTGTGCCAGAGTTTGACCAAGTGCCTGAGCAGGTGAAATGACCACCACCTAGCCGTAAGTTGTAATTTGAAGCTACTCGGATGCGGCGAGTAGTTTCAATTGCGGCTTTTTGTCCTGCCAGGCACCCATCTCCTTTGTGTCGGTACGGCGACATGCGCCAGCCACGCTTTGCTCTTTCGGTGTCCATCTGCAGGAGCCGACGACGCAATACATCCGTGCATGGTTGCATGGGGGAGAATACGGCCAAGACTGCTGTATATCGTCTCTGCCTTGGCCCTGGCTAACACCGTAGTCTGCTCTTGTCCCCTTCCCCATTACCGCGATGTTGTGGAATGCACAGGAACAACCGGCCACTGTTAAGAAGGATTCTCCTTCCACTGCCGCCGAGGCTCAAGTGGAACCATCGGCCGGGTCAGGCGACGCCCCTGCAGCTCAAGAGTGAGACGATTAGATTAGTACAATGCGCGATGCAATTTCGGGAGCTTTCACGCTGTGATTCAGATGGTGTGCAGGTTGTACTGCTGCATGTCGTGCCGCACGGAGGTTGTATGTTAATCGAATATCTTGGAGATGATGCATGGGGCTGGCTGCCTCTCACCTCTGACTTGCAAAATGTATAACTTTCCTCCAACTTGACGTCAGGAGCGCGCCCAATGGTACCACGGCATCCTCGGAACACACTGTCCAAAACTTCGCCCCGGACACGACGGCCATCGTCTACGGCCTCCAAAACCGCGCCGTGCAGGTGTGTATGCATACGGCAGAGATTGCTCCAGAACATGTTCATCGCCGTCGGGCGACAGTAGAACTCGATGACAAGTTGAAGGTTGTTGTGGAATGGGTCTAATAATACGGTCGTATGTGTGGTGGTGGTCTGGCGGCAGGGCATGCTGGACTTCGACTTCATGTGCAAGAGGGAAAAGCCGTCGGTGGCGTGCATGGTGTTCCCTTTCTCTGGGAACCACTACATCAAGTTCTACTGGGGAACGGTGAGCGATCTGTGCTGGTAATGACTTACAGCGTCACGCGTATGCTCACGTAGTCGCACCTTTTCTCAAGCCTTGTGCCATGTCCCACGGAAATCGAAAGATGCCTGTCTCAGATGGGACAACTGGTCCCGGAGAAGTTGCAGCATTTTCTTTTCCTCTCAACAGCCCTCGCTCCACGTGATGCCCTCCTCAGCAATCTGGCTTCCGATCCCCGAACGCGTGTTTGACTCACCCTTGCTACGATACGACATGGCGCAGGCGGAAACCCTCATCCCGGTGTACACGTCTATCGCCGAGGCGGTGAAGCGACACCCGACCGTGTCGGTCATGGTCAACTTCTCGTCTTTCCGTTCCGTGTACGAGACAACTATGGACGCCCTCAACTACTCTGACACGATCAAGACTCTGGCTATCATCGCCGAGGGAGTCCCGGAAAGCCAGACCCGCGAAATCATCAAGGCTGCCGACGAGAAGAAGGTGAATTTCACGGTTTGGAGCTGATCGAAACATCTGCGACGTTTCTGCGTCTATCACCCACATACCCCTTACCTTCTTGACTCCCGTCCTTGGTTGGATTCCCCGGTGGTAGCATTTGAAGCGCATTGTTCCACTTCCATTTGATGCTTAGTATTGCCTCCTCATGACCGTTCGTGGCTACCCAATCACCAGGTTGGTCTGATCGGGCCGGCCACCGTCGGTGGAATCAAGCCGGGATGCATGCGCATCGGTAACACTGGTGGTATGCTGGACAACATCGTCATGTCCAAGGTATGTGTCGGATAGTTGTTTGGCGATGTCTGCGCATGTGCGCCTATGAAATACGTTCTCGTTAGCCGCGCAGGCTGAACTCGCTGTAACTGTAAGACTTTTCTTCGTTTCGTGTTTTGTTTTTCGCAGCTGTACCGACCGGGAACCGTCGCGTACGTGTCGAAGAGTGGCGGCATGTCGAACGAACTCAACAACATCATCGCGCGCAACTCCGATGGCGTGTTCGAGGGGGTGGCGATCGGCGGAGACCGCTACCCAGGCACCCGGTTTATCGACCACCTCTTGCGGTACCAGGACAACCCGACAGTGTCGGTGAGACAAGTTGTGCATGACACAAAGGGATGTTCCGGATGTTCACAATTAACAAAACTGATGCGTACACTGCAAGTCGGGGTGCATTGTGGTTGTCGTATTCTTCTGACCGAACTCCGGACCAACCTGTTGCCCCGAGTCATCGATCGATGGGACTTATTTCAAGAGTATTGTTGTAGCCGCGAAGTGCACCCCAATGACCCGAATTCCACGGCTTCATAAATTATTAAGGCCTGAAATATTTTGTTTTTCGTTGCGCACCTTTTCTTTTGTTGTTCGTCTCGTCTCCATCGTAGATGTTGGTCCTGCTTGGCGAGGTTGGAGGAGCTGACGAGTACGACGTTTGCGATGCGCTCAAGAGCGGACGTATCACCAAGCCCGTCGTGGCCTGGTGCATCGGCACGTGTGCATCCATCTTCCCCTTCGAGGTGAGACTACAGCAATCCTGCAAGATCAAGGCGTTCTTGTCGACTAATGAAGATGGTCACCCAATCGCTCTGATCCTATGTTGGCTGGATTGTCATTGTAGCATTTCGTCGTCTACGCATTTGTGCCGCGTGGCCGTGTTTCTCTTCATCTCTCTCGTGAGTGGCATGTGAACCCGAAAACGTTATTGTGCTGTCGACTTGGTTTGGCTTCATCAGGTGCAATTCGGCCACGCAGGAGCTTGTGCGCGCGGTCAGGGTGAAACCGCGGCAGACAAGAACGCAGCCCTAGCCGCGGCTGGTGCGGTGGTCCCCGTCTCGTTCGACGAGTTCCCCTCCAAGATCAAAGAAGTCTTCGACGGGTAAGTGTGAGGCCCTCCGAGCGCGGCAGACACAGAAGCTGTATTTCTTGGGAGTGCGATGCAGAAAGTGTTGTAACCTCAGACGTAAAAAATTATCCCATCAATGCGCTGCATTTTTCACACCTGGAACCCTGCGCTTGTCCCGCCCCCCGGGTGTGTGTGAACTCGCCCCTCGCGGATATCGACATACAGCTTGCTCGAGAAGGGCCTGGTGAAGGCTATGGTGGAACCGCCTGTGCCAAAGGTGCCTATGGACTACACGTGGGCCAAGCGCCTTGGTCTCGTGAGGAAGCCTGCCAACTTCATCTCATCTATTTCGGACGACCGCGGAGATGAGCTCAGGTCAGTTTCCCGTCCGCTCGAAACAGGATGACGGCATGACCCCGGCAACTACGCAACGAGGGGGAACGTCAGCCATTGTTAGGGTAGTACAGTATGGGCCCTATTTTGATATCGAAAATGCCCGCGCCAAACAATCCATGACACGAATGTTTCCTCCCGCACGATTCACTGCAGCTACGCAGGGATGCCGATCAGTGAAGTCTTCTCGGCCGACATCGGGTTGGGTGGTGTGCTTTCGCTCCTGTGGTTCCGCCGTCGGCTCCCCGACTACGCCACCAAGTTCATCGAGATGATCCTCATGGTGAGATGGATGCCTTTGTGCCGAACTGCACCCAGTTCTAGCAGAAATGTGATGGGTTGGGGTAATCGCGGTTACACGCCCGCTCCACGAGCTACATGGCTATTGTTTGTCTATTGTGAGGTTGGCGACGACCAACGTAGCCTGTCCGCTTCCGTCTGTATTCTTCCCAAACTTGCCCACGTGCATTCAGGTGACGGCCGATCACGGACCGGCGGTGTCTGGTGCCCACAACACCATCGTGACAGCAAGGGCCGGGAAGGATTTGGTGTCGGCGCTGTGCTCTGGTCTTTTGACCATCGGCCCCCGATTCGGGGGGGCGCTGGACAAGGCCGCGGAGATGTTCACCCAGGTATGTTTGGTTTCGCGATGGGTCTTTAGATCCGCTGACATGCGTGTCGGTGTCACTTGACAAAGCATCGCTCTGCAAACGCGCGGAGTTGGGTGGTGAGAGCTCTGAGTTCATCGTCATTGCCGTGCCGTATCAATGCAGGGTGCTGACGAGGGAGCCGACGCCGCTGAGTACGTGAAGCGCATGCGCCAGCAGAACAAGCTCATCATGGGCATCGGGCACCGCATCAAGTCTCTCAGCAACCCAGACATGCGTGTGACAATCATCAAGGAATATGCTCTGAAGCACTTCAAGAACAACAAGGTCCTGGACTTCGCTTTGGCCGTCGAGCAGGTGGGATTACAGTAGGCGATATCTCGCGTGTCGTTCAGATACTCAAACACTGTATATCGCAGACGCATCATGTGGGAAATCGCTGCTACAGTCAAAATGTGTCCTGGTGGCATGTACGAATCCACTTTAATGGTGACCACTGGAAAATCATAGGAACATGCGTTGTTTTGATATTTTGTACGCTGTGTCGTTGTTTGGATAAGGTTGATCCGACGAACCTGGGTGACAATTCGTACAACATACAGAACACTGAATGTACACGGCACATGAACTTCCCCAACAGGTCACCACCAAGAAGAGGGAGACGCTTATCCTCAACGTCGATGGGTGCATCGCGGCGTGCTTCGTTGACCTCCTCCGTTCGTGCGGGGCGTTCACGCAGGAAGAGGTGAGGAAAAGTAGCATGCGTGCCCTCTGCCTTCGATGTGTATGTACCCTTTCGCCTGTGTTCTTGCTTCGGGCCATTTTTCGGTGGTGGAAGCGAGTCTTTTCTCACATTTCTCTCTCAGGGTCATGCAGGGGGATCGTCTGTACATGACTGCGCACGCCGAAGACCGCCAGCCACCCGTGGCGCTTGTGGTTGACGCCCAAGGTTGAAAAAAATTGGCTGTATACCCCGGGGACGTGTTCCGCAACAAGGAAGCCTTGGCAAGGAGTAAAACAAAAACTGGGTTGCATAAAAACTGTGGAGACTTTTAGGATCCTGCGCAATGAACACAAATATATCAGTGACTGATCAAACGCAACAGACAGTAGGACCTTGCACCACACACTTAACCCACGCACACCGGAAAAATCATGGCGAGAAAAAAGATACCCCGCACATGATGCAACTTCCAGGCAACATCCGCAAGCCGTACGCGAAATCGGCACTACCGAACATGACGTTGAGATGGCAGCGATGTGACCGCGATGACATTAGCCAAGTCCTCTTGCGTAGCCCCCGGGAGGCGAGCCACCTAACTCCAAGGGGAGCCTTGTACCAACCAATTCTTGGTGTGACATGTCTTGTGCTGTTTTTCTTTTGTTTCGGTGTTCAGGCGGACGAGTTGATCGCCAACGGCTGCCTTAACGGCATGTTCGTGCTGGGCCGATCGGTGGGCTTCATCGGCCACTACCTCGACCAAAAGCGGCTGAAGCAGCCTCTCTACCGCCACCCTTGGGACGACATCTCTTACCAATCAGTAAACTAAATTAGATTTGCACGTCGTAGGCTGAACCGAGAGACCTCGCGCTGTAACAGCGAACATGTGTCCACGCCACCAGTGGGGTCAACGAAACACGCACGACCACATGAAATCTGGGTCAGCTAGCGTGTTTTGCAACCACGCAAGGAGAGTTGCGCCTCGTGAGGATTTGGATTACATAGCCCCTTGTGTATTTGCTTCTAAAAATCAACGACGGATGAGTTGTTCGTGGGCTGTTTCAAGCAATAATTGTGTTCGAGTGCGGTGGTGTATTGCTTGTGTGTTTTGTCTGGCCTCGTGCCCGTGTTTTATGTGAATTGATCGTGTTTACTCAAACATTTCATGTGATGAACGAGGAAAATGATCAGTACAGGCTGACTATCCATGGTTCGGGTAATTTGATTCTGTTTGGCAGGCAACTACAGTACAGCAGTCTCACCTCGCTCGCCGAAACCCTATTTTAAAAGAACCAACTTCCACATGAAACGCTATCGAAATTTGCCCCATGAACACAACATGTCACGTGCTGGCGCATTCTAAACGTTACAAAGTCAGTCCGGTGCACTGTTCGAAACCAACACTGCTTGCATGCAACATTCGGTGTCCTCTCGACGAAGAAGTGATGAATAGCACTTTCGCGGGGGGGGGGGTTGGATGTTGCCGTCATCGATGAGGAAATCGGATGGCAGCACAGCTTCCTGCTGAACAAACCAGTCCCCAAAAAAGGGAGGTGAAAGGGAGTGAGAAATCGTGCTTTGACTTGTTGTTGTTGTTGTTTGTTTTTCTTCACATTAATCTCGTGTCAGTTGCTAATCCCAAAATCTAGCAAAGACTCGGCCCGTGGTCACAAAAATGCTAAAGCGATCAGAAGATCTAAAGAACACGCACACTATTAGCAAGAAAAGGGTACACAAGCCCGAGGAGGTACACCTACAATCCCTGCATCACGTTTGCGAGCTCACAACTGAACTACACACCCACACACACTACAATTCGACTACAGCAGGCGGCATCACCCCCCTTGTCCCGCACTTCACCAAAATGAATGTTTGTCGACTACTACGGCGTACTGCTGTCTGAAGTGCTGTCTGTACAAAATAATAACATCATGGTGTATGGTGCACAACAAGCTCGGGGCATGCAGCTGCTGTCTGAAGTGCTGTCAGAATGGTCCCGTGGACATACAATGAAGAAGAACAACCAACCAAAGCCATCATTGCAATTGACAATCGCCCGAATCTATCCAGATCATCTGTGTTAGACACAGCAGTGTAAACATCGGCACTGACTTTACATGTTCACTTGGTTGGTCTTCTTCGTTCAGATTTTCTTTTTGAGCACACCCACCCACTCTCTCACTCTCCTTGCCCGCCATTCTCCCTGTCAGGGAAGCCGGCGGGCAGGCCATCAAGAAGGGAAGCTATTCGAAATAATTATACTTCGTAGACTAGAAGTTTTTATTCACGGTGTCGCTCTATGTGCGCACCCACACTGAAACGTACCAACCATCATCGATCGTCAAATAACGCAATAGACTACACACGACTACACACACCCGGTGGGAGTATTTATTTCCCCGTTGTCCGGCCAGTCGTATTGCACGATTGATGCGAATCAAACGAACACCAACATTCGCAAACAGATATGATATGGACCACTTCTAACAACGACCAATGCTGCAAATTAGACTCTAATCCAACATGTCATGTACCACATGTGCACATGGGTTATTTTATGGATGTGGCAGAGGGCTGGACTCGTGCATATAATTACCCCCCGATCTCGGATTCGCCGGTGCCCCTCCCCGACAGTCCCGTGCGGTGCGTTACACGGACGCTGCTTGGTGCACAGGGACAGGGACAGAGACCGTATTGAGGTACCGCGCTCTGTTTCTCCTGTGTAGCTGGTGAATCTTTACGGTTTATCAACGTCAAGTGTATAGTGCGAACGCTGCTGTAGACTCCAAGGCACGGCAGTTTGTGAATATAGGCAGCACAGAAAATAGATATAATAGGAGCGATCAGCTCAGTAATAGCAGCGATCAGCATCGATTGCTGTCGCCGCTGCTGCAGCCCCACGTGAGCTATGGCGCGTGGCGCTTTGAAAGGGCTTAAGCGAACGCGACCATCAGCAGGAGAAAAAGTGGTTGTCAAGGGACAGCTGGCCCAGGGAGGTGCAGGTCGTTCACCGGGACAGAACACGGTTGGTTCGCAAGGTGAGCTCACTATTCGGCAGTCTACAGCATACCATGTACTACATAGATAGTGCAACGTCTCCTTCACACAGCATCTGAAACAGAGGGGGTTCCTCTGCCTGTGTGCATTTCTTTTTGGTGTATTTTCTTTTGATCCACCGACACGAAGATGCCAAGTGACGTGCTCACGTGGCTACCCCTCAATGTTGGCGTTAATATCGGTGTGTACGTACAGCAGTATGCATGGTGATATGGATCTAGACTAAACTGCGGTGTACCTACAGCTGCGACCAACGACCGCGGCGTCCGGCAAGTCAAAATACGTTGGTGGCTACATACGATTTGTTCCTTTTCACACATCTCTGCGACTGACGTGCGGAACAGGAGCGGCCTCAAGCCCGAACGCCGGAGCTGAGTTGGATAACGCGGAGTTGGTGAGCTGGCTCAACTGTGAATGCTTCTTCTCCCTGGTGTTGGTGGGTCTACTGGCAGCATTGCCGTTCAACCTACACACTCAAGAGCTGATGCAAACGCCGGAGACGTACGTGGCTCGAGCTTTGGAACTGTCAGAAGACGGAGCGTTCGACAAGGTACCCCGTGCCCGCTGTGGAATTGCCAGTGTTGTTTTGCCGGGATTTTTTTCTTTGCTGCTACAGTAGGGGACAAGCAGTGTTGCCAAAAATCGGAACGCCTTGCGAACCATCGCCAAACTTTAGGGCAACACTACATGCGTCGAAAGGCACGTGGCACCAGTGGTGCAGCTTAACCCATAGAGCTTGAACCGCAGGTGCCACTTCGAGGGTGCCAGCTGCACGTGCGAGACACAACGAGTGTTCATTGTTACGGTAGCCGGACCTGTCCCCTCACATGATATCAGGCCCCAAACATCTCTCCTCGCTGTCTCGCTATCGTTTTTTTTCTCCCTACCACCACTTTTCGATGTCTTTGGGTTGCGGAGCCCCTGGCGAAGATCCTCTTGGCAAAATACTGCGAAGAGGGCCCAGATGCACGTTTCATGTTTGCCGACATCTCCGTCCAGGAGGGATGAACCCTAGATGTCGTGGATGCTACAGAAAGCCACCGACACCAGCTTGTGTGCCCACCGTTTGGTCCAAGTCGCACGGCCCCAAGTCATATACTGATGCGTCCTCCAAATCCTTCTGTTCAACCAGAACTGCCTACAAGTCAGCGTGTGGTGCGACCCTCGTAAAAAGCACAGACTGCGAAACAATGGCGGAAAACTGGCAAACAGCGTTTATTTACTAGATGTGTACTGTGTGGTCTTGTTTCAGCAGCGCACGTAGACCCAGGGTGGCGCCAGGTGGTTGTACGTACGCGACGCCGCTTGCCCGGGGACGATATGGGAAAAAAATCCCACGTCGACAAAAACCTGATTACTGAGGACGTACTTTTCCAACAAACCCTCATTTTCCTTTGTCTCTTGAACGTGGAGGACTTATCAGGACCGCAGCTACTTGGAGGTGCCTTCATACGTGACGGTGGTGGGCTGTAGTGGCGACAGTGCCGGAAAATTTCGAAAAATATATTACAACACTGTTACGTGAAAGATAACTGAGTGCATACAATCATTGGGTTTTTGATAGAGGCACCTTGCCAGACGCCGCCTACGCTCTTTCAGGGCAAGCACGCCTTGTCTTGCAGCATCGGCAGAGGCACCGCTGCTGCGTGTTTTGAATATCTAGAATGCTTGGCTTATTGTGGAGCAGCATATCAATACCATAATGAAAGCATCATGAAAGGCTAAAAAAAACACTTGGGTGCTTACGCCAGGCTGCTTCGCTGTACGAGCGCGCTGTCAACATCGAAGAAACGGCTGAGAGGCATGTTTTGCTGGGCGAAGCACTGGTTCTAGCGGAGAGGAAAGGTGAAGCCCTTTGGCACTATGGGCGGGCTGCAGACCTGTACGACGACAGGGAGTACAAGGTAAGGCAGGACATCCCCCATGCGGGGCGGTTGGGAGGGTGAAGTACTATTTGTGAGACCAGAGCAATTTCCAAGTTCGCAGTGTGTATAATACATGATGTAACGCTGATTCGAAGTCACTGGTAACGCTGATTCGGAATCAGGTGTCGACTCTGGTGAGCTTAGGACAAGTGCAGACCGAGGAAGGGTATTCCGATGATGCTGTGGAAACATACTTGCAAGTCCTCTCGTTGCAACAAGACGAGGACCCCGATGAGGTGGCAGACGCACATGTACAGGCAAGTGGTGTGGGGGAAGTCAAAGGTCTCGGGCTCCATAGATGGGCGCCGAAAAACCTACCGATTAGTAATTGCCAGTTCTCTTTCAAAATGGGTGACCGTGGAACATGTACATATGCACTTGTCACACACTCTTTCCTGCCGGCCTGATGATCATGTGCACACAGGTGGCAATGAGCTTGCTTGACAGTCACAACCACTCGGAAGCTGTGGGGCACCTCGAGTTGGCCACCGGTGAGTGTTAGACGAGCTTAGCCATACAATGTGCTACGAACAGCAGTAGTCCACGATTTCAACTATTTTGGGGAGCTTGTTTCTGTCGAAGTGACAACTGCTTCGCGCTCTGGTTTGGGTATCCATTTGAAGGTGGGTGTGAATGGTAGGCCCCAGTTGTGTACGTGCGCAAGGTTTCTCGTTGTCGTGTTTTTTCCGAAAACAATAGAGCCTCGCACCCCCGCAGGAGTGTTTTCCTTTTGTGTACAAGGTCATGTGCACTTTCACCGCAAATGTATCGTGCGAAGATCTGCAACATGCAAGCGCTGATGACGATAAGCGGCGGATGTACTTTATACACTCCTAGAGCCACATCAAGGGGAAGAGCTCATGAATGTATGCCGCAAGAGGGCACAGCTGCAGCGCCGTGGACGAATCAGTTTTCTGCCACCGGACTCTTCGTTACGAAGATTCTTCGCCCTTTAGTACCGAAGAGGTCCGGAGAAAGGAACATCCTGTTGAAAATCATGGATCCATCTACGCAGCACGATCGTCAGGGTGATCTATTTCAATGACCCATTTACAAGCCAAACGGTATTTCACGTGCAAAGCACGGTGGGCGAACCTGACTAATAATGTAACCACGAACCTCACGCTTGATTGAAATATGACGGCAAGGAAGGTATCCGAGCCGTGTCGTTCGCACGGCACCCTGCCAAAGGATGTCGACATATTATATTAATAGGTCTCAATGAGACGGGGGGTGTGTGGATATCGGCTGCTTTGTACAGCTGCAGTGCTGATCCAATTTCTTTCCACCACTACGAGTAGGAGGGACGTTTTCGTCTTCATCTTTGTGTGCCTTTACACACAGAAGGTAACCTCCCTGGTATTCCCGTAGAGTGATGATTGACGTGAAACTTGTGCCAACGCATACCTCTTCAAACTCGCGGTTTGCGTACAACTGGGATACTGTCGTGATGACAACTGTACATGGCTGGCCGCCGGTGCAAATATGTTGCGAATTAACGCGAACTCCGGTTTATGGCGTGCGATGCTGTTTGTTTCTTCAATTCGCCAGCTTTGGTTCCGGACTTGACTCAAGCCCAGGAGTTGTTGGCCAACACCCTCCGAGATATGGGATCCGTAGAAGAGGCAATACGACAGTACAAGAGTATCATCGCCCAGCGATCAACGTGAGTGGTGTGATACTTGCGTGATACTTTGCGTGGAAACCGGGAGCGAAGCAATGCATTGTGAGCAAGTTGCAGCTGAAGTCGTGTACCAGTAGCTTCCACCTCGAGCTTCCGTTGTAGACGCTCTTCGGTGGAGCGGGTTGGTCCCATGGCAATACCTTTGTCCTTGCGAATGCCTTGGCGTCTCGGGGATTACGCCACATTTCTGGCTCTACTTCTCTTCAGTTCGGCTCCCCGATTTCTGTGTATCGTAGTGAACGCGACGCACGTTATACAAGTTGACTCATGTTCCTTCTTTGTCTTGATTTGATCTCAGGGATATCGGGACGTTGGTGCAACTCGGCTACGCGTACCACGAGCTGTGTGACTTCTCGCAAGCTCTAGCGACCTACAAAAAGGTGAGGACCGAGGGTAATGAGCGCTCGGTAGTTATAACCAACCCTTCGAGCAGGTTGCGGCGCGTTTACTGCTAGTACGTGGGTGTAAAATTCGAAATTCGAACGTTACGCGACGCTTCTAAGTTGTTCCAGCGGCTCTGGGTCATAAACGCAAAGGCAATGAATTGCCCGGCACAACATGCTCCTTGCACCCGTTCGCCACCACCCGACATGTAGCCAGATTTGGACTTCGTCTTCCAGAGGATGCCCCTGACTGATGAACGTTACTACTTGACACATTTCAGGCACGATCGTCGCCCACAAAGGCGGCAGAGATGGACTACCTCACCGCGGCGTTGCACAGCAAATCGTTGCGACCCTCTCGGGCCCCCACGGCCTATGTTGCCGATCTGTTCGACCTGGAAGTTAGAAAGAACGGGTTCTTGGAGTCACAGGCAAAGAGGACCGCTCTTGCAAGTGCGGAAGATTCCGACTCTTCAGAGTCTCCAGGGCCTCTGGCGGAGGCAAGAAGATCAAACGGCGATCGTGGCATGTTTTATGACGTGCACGGGCTCATATTCGATCGCGTGGCACCCAACATGAGATCGATGATTGAGGCCGCTCTCGGCTTGCCGACAGACGGATTGGGTAGGAGGGGGCTGCAGTGGTTGGACATCCTTGACCTCGGGTGCGGGCGAGGTACGATGGGGAGCGAATTGAAACAACTCGCCAATTTCATCACAGGAGTCGACCTCTCGGAGAGAGCCATCAAGCACGCGTTACGAGAAGGGTCATATGATAGCATCCAGCATGGAGACGCCATCGCTGTTGTGAACACGATGCTGCCGAACAGTTTCGACCTCGTAGTGGCGGCCGACATGGTGCCGTACTTCGGCGACCTAGGCGACTTGTTCCGGGCCATCGCGGCCGTCACGAGGCCAGGCGGGCTGGTTGCGTTCAACGCGGATGCGTTAGACGCTATTGACGATGGGTCGGGCGGAGCAAATGCTGGCGGGAATGTGCGGGCGTTTGACTTGAAGTTCACCGGAAGGTGGAGTCATCGTAGAAAGTATGTGACTCAGAGTGTAGCGGCGGCCGGCTTGTCTGTGTTGGGGGTGCGGGTTGTTAAGGGACGAACAAGACTGGTCAGCACAGCGGCTGGCGAGATCGTGCTGGAAGCGGCTCCACAGGAGCGACGAACAACGATATTCTTGTGTGGGAAAGGCACCATGACGTAGCCGAGATTGGACAGTAGGGGAAGGGGGTAGCCGTTTGTTTCAGTTGGGTCTTTCGGGATTTCATCGCCGCTCCATGGTGTTCTAACTCTCCATGTATCACTCTCAGGCTGGTTTTCCATTTACACCTCAGATGGTTAAGATATCGTGTGGATGTTGGTTGTGCGTGCGTCATCTACCACCTGTAAAAAAGGATCGAGTACGTGCCAAAAACTATGCGTCGTGTACGACCGCTGCTGACGCGGGATAGGTGGGCTGTACTTTCTTGCCAGGCCCCGGATGTTCGAAGCGCGGTTTTCTGCTCGATATAGCTAGCATACCGTGATCAGTGCTTTGATACTTCTCGACGGTTGTACGCCTAAAAAAACGTCGTGCATCGTGAGCAGATTCCGGCTTGTGAGCAAACTCCGGCTTGAACCGTTTCGAGAGTGCAACCCGCTCATATCCATGATAAAGGTTTGATGGGTATGGAACAGGTTAACAGCTATTCGCACATAAAGGGAAGAATTCCGCTTGAAAATGCTTGAATCCGCCGCGGTCAAGACGCTGGTGGTAGGTATCATAGACAACGATCATCCATCAGCGCTCCGGTCAGTTTTTTTTTTTTTATTCCAATGTTTCAACAGATCCTGTGGCTTGCTCGACCGTTCACGGAAAAACAGCTACAGAGCTACGTAGATGTCGATGTAGGACAACTTGACTTGGCTCAGCCCGTCACGATTCCCTCGAACTTTGCCTGAAAGCGCGCACACAAGCAAGAGTAGATATCGTTAGTGGTCAGAAAACACAAGGAAACTGGAAGTAACCGCCCCCTTGCGGCTGGCAGGGACAATGCACCCAACTTGATCCAGTCATTTGATCGCTCTTGCGGAAAAATCATCTCCGAGGCAATGTTTGAATTTACACACGGGAAGAGGCGACGCACCTGGAACCACTTGACGGCGTCAGTCTTGGTGACCTTGTGCTGGTAACCGATCTTGGCGCACTTCGCCTTGCGCTTCGCCACGCGGTACCCCGGCCGGTTGAGCACTACGAAAAAGTCCATTCCGTAGATACCTGCAAGGAGCGAGAGGACATCGTCGTTGCTCATATGCCATCATACCGACAATTAACAACGATAGCTGCCAAACGTGTGAAGAGGATGCAAGCTGCTCAAAACTGCCACGCCCTACAAAGAAAACTGGTTTGCGCCAAAGAGGACGTCCGTTCATCGCGAAGGAGACGGCGCGGGTCAGATGTAGGTCCCGAAACATGGGGTTGACACTGTTCGTATTCAAATACGGCCTTCATAAGAACTAGACGGACCAACCGAACTGGCACCCAGAAAATAACGCGACGGTGAAACTGTGTCACCAACCACCGTGGCCAAACAGTACATGTACACCTTTGCCCCAAGCTTGGGGGCGTTTCTCTTAACGCAACCGTTTATGTTCAACTATGATAGGCCTCGAATTCACGCCAATGTTCGACAAGGTTAGCACTTAGGCAGGATGGCCGCAGCCAAAAAATTAGCTGGTTTGTAGCTAGACACAACCAGCACCACCGATCAAAGCAGGAGGCCCCGACATGTGCTTCAAGATGCACAACGGAGCAAAACATGAGCAGTACACCACGCCCCAAATGGCATTCTACCGACAGTAAATCGAACATTGAGCGCGATCGAGTCGAAGCGTTTCATTGCGGAGCGTGTGTAGCAAGCACGCTGTAACTTTAGTACATCACACCTCGAACGTGGTACCATGACAGCTAAGGTGGAGGGAGCCAGACGCCGAACAAGGCAAAAACAAATAGCATGTCTATGCGCCGTGAGCGTTGACAGAAGGCTTGCGCTCAATCAGCACACTGCCGTCTTCGCGAATACAACGTTGTTCCAAGGCAGCAGTGCTAGACACAACATTCCCACTATAGTTTTCGCAGAGGATACTAGTACGAGTACTATTGTGGTTGCGGCCGTGTCACGATTCAATTCCTTTATCCGGAACAGTGATCTTTCATATACGAGCAGAAACATCTGCAAGCCTCACACCACGTATTTGTAGCCGAAAGAGAACAGAAAATTCTGCCAGCAGTGGGTTGCATCCTCTGTTCACACACAATTTTGCACTGGGTGGACATGCTTTGGCCTCAGCACGGGGTCCTGGGCAGGGTTGTGGGCGCAACACATGGTCACTATTTGGGGTGCAGAATGCGGATGAAAATCTTACCGGTGGATGGGTCGTACTTCAGTCCGAGGTCGATGTGTTCCTGGATACCAAAGCCAAAGCTGCCGGTGTTGGAGAAGTTCTTGCGCTTGAGCTCGTACTCCTTCACCTTAAGCCCTCGCTCAAGGATCTCCAACGCCTTATCGCCGCGGACCTGCGCATCCAGACAGTATCAACGGAACTGAAATCAGGCCCAGGCAGCGCAGCAGAGCGCTAGACATACAACATGTGAAGCGACCAAAGCAGTTGAGAGATTCATCGTTTTTTAGTTGTCGGGCATGTCCTTACGAGAGATTCCGCAAGAGTCGGAGAGATGGCACCCCCGTGTTAACGTTTTTGTATAGCGTATTTCTCCACAACCAGGGGGGCACCACTGCCGAAAAGAGTGGTTTTGGAAACATCTCGTCGAGGACTTTCCTGAGAGGTATCTGTTGGTGTTCGCACTGTCCTAGTTGTGGAGAAATACGCTACAAAAAAGCGCTAACACGGGGGTGCCATCTCTCCGACTCTTACGGTATGCACACGTCAAGTCAAAATCATGGTACATGCACATGTTTCAGAACGGAGCGAAACGATGACCGTGCTTGAGACAGGATGGTAGTGCCAAACGCACGCGTGCGCCACGTGAACCAAAAGGTTCACAAGAAACTGTACTCATCAGGCATTCTCACCGTCACGTGGCACGCGATCTTCTCGTTACGCCGGATTCCGAACGAACGAACCGTGTAGCGTGCTGCACGAAGAAGCGATTGGTGAACACACACACGGAAAGGAAGGGAGGGTTGGGGCATCTGTTACTACAAAGAGGATCCCTCACGAATGCCGGCAGGGAACAGGTAGGACGCCAAATTAGTAGCCTGTCTGTCGTGGAACACACAAGGAAGAGGCTTCGCTGTTTCGAAAATTGCAACCTTTGGACGCTCCACGACCTCTTCGCAGTTGATTCCCGGTGCCGTCAACGAATTTTACCAACCCAGAGACAAAAAACGCCCCCCCCCCCCCCCCCCCCCCGCGCCGATGATCCAGAACCTGAACAACATGACAAATCTAGACATTATACGGTGCCTGACCCATCTACTGCGGCGAAAAACGCACACCGCAGAGTACAGAAACACTATCGTCTCCGCCACAGTCGGGGCCATGATTAGCACCCATATTGTGGGCTCAACATCCACGTTCACATCCCGTTCCACCTCCAGCAGCACCGACACACAAAAAAGTGGCATCTCCTCACCCTCCGGGACCATATAATGCTGTGGACACATGCTCAAGACAAAATAGATCAAGTACCACGCTCGCAAAGAAAGGCATCGATTGCGACTGCTGTTGCAACATGCTCTCTTGGTTGTGCCAGATGACGCCAACTCACAATCATGCATGTGTTTTGAATGATCGACGGAACACCACTGCTACATTAAAAGGAAAAGTGCTCCATGGCAGACCTCACTCGTACGAGAGTTTCGACCGCTTTGGAGCACCAACAGACAGCCGGGAGCAAGCGCACCGGTGGTCTACATGGAATTTAGGGTGAGAGGCAAGCTGCTCTAAGTTGGAGTATTAAGCTTACACTGGAATTCATACTTCGTTTAGAGGAAATTGCTTCACTACTGCTCACGACCAAGACACCAAAGTTCGACAAATGGTCGCTGACTTGAAATTTGATATGCTACCCAAACAATTGCGTGTCGACGAGGACGCCCCCTGGCACATCACCGCACGGTGACTGACACACGCGTTGTACTGCAGTAGACAGCTGTGGACCTCGAGCGAGTGTAGACCAGACAAGCCCGAGGGGGTTGAGGGGCGATAGTGCGGACATCAATGTAGTTTATGGGCGATCAAAGGTGACACAAAACACTACCCGCCAACCTTCTTCCGTTTCCATCAACTAGCTTCCATCAAGACTTGGTACGGTGTACACGGCATGTCTGTTCCTCTTCCCGTGTACAAAGCGATGGCCCCAGCTCTGCGTATGCATATGCACACAACAATTAATCAATACTAGGGCCTCACCCTTGGAGTAGACGGGCGACTGGCCCGTGAGTTGCTCCAGCACCTTCGCTGCGCGCGTCAGCCTGTCACCCGACTCTCCGACGGAGCAGTTAAGCACCAGCTTGTCGACCTTCAGGTCCCTCATCGGGTTGGTCTTGATCTCCGCCTGTACAGAGTACGCGAGAGAAGCCGCAGCGGTAGCGGCAGACGAGGGAGGTCAAGAGATATCGAAGCTTGGAACGTCAGGTATAAACAAGCACGAGTAGGGTTCCTGGACGGCATGAGGTAGCTCTTCAGCATAGATTGATAGATCGCCTAGCTCTATGATAGGGTGCATATACATTGATGACTAACACCACCTAGACTGCTACTGCTGTACGTGTGCGATGTGCAATTTCTTCACAGGAGACAAGGTAAGGAGAGCCGTAGAGGCAGCGAGAGGCAACAAGCAACCATATCGTTGGACTGGGTCAACCGACTGGGGCGTGCATCGCTCGTAGATACCATGAGTTTTCACGATTGAAGAGAGATGAACCTCGAGCTTTTGCACGGAGGCAAAGAACATATGTCTCAAACACGTCCCTGCCATTGGCACTCCTGCTGTAGGCTAGCGTCTTGGGCAGTTCATGGCGAGCCATCACGGGACTAGCACACTGGCACACACACACGGTCGTGAACTAGCTCACCTACTTCGAACTCGCTTTTCACCAAACATTTACCAGATCGAGTGGAACTCATGGGTGCTGAAATACACAACTGCAGTGCTTCTCCTCTGCCCCGCGCACTCACCATCACGCCCAGGATCTGTGAAACTTGGTGTGGCACCGCTCGGCCACACACAGAGAGGGGGGGGTCGGGTATTGGTATGTTTGTCCGGTGACATACCCTTTGTATATGTCAGCTGCGTTCTGCGAGCACCCTTGCTGATGCCAATGATGCACTGCTCTGCTGCACACACATGGCAAGCCAACACCACGCGAGCGGGCAAAGACATCATGTCGAAGATAACGGTGGTTGCTGCCGTTGTTGTAGGTGAGAATCTGTGGAAGTTCTGCATTTGACTGTTCCAGGAAAGATTAATGTTCACGACTTGCTGCGTCTACGTATGCATATGATACGTGGGTTCATCGACAGATCCGATGCTCACACCACGTTCAAAACACTCTGGGACAGCAGGTGCCTGCGCCGCTCTTGCTGCTACGGGATTCCGCGGCCGGCAGACTGTGGTCGGCATTGACTTGGGGACGACATTCTCGGTCATTGGCGTCAACGAGGTACAGGAATAGATTATCTATTTTTGCTTCTGCTGTACATGCAGCTCTAGGGTAGGGGCGTACTAGGGACTCACAACGAACGGCGTCGGCATGTCCGCCAGCATACACCCGGACAGAGAGACGGCTGGAATAAGAATGAACACCTTTGACAGACGAATCGACCGTGATTCTGCATACTAGCGGTCGCCCTCACAAAGAGAGTAACTAACCCACGAGATATTTAGTGGGAGGGGCGCTTTCTTCATCCGTGTCCTGTAATGTACTCCTCCGCAGTACTGTATGCTGCAGCAGAACGTTTACCTGTACACGTGTACACGGCTGTATGGTATCAGACCAGCAGACCTTGTTGCTGAGTCGGGCCTCGCTGTGCAACAACACTAGCACAAGCACTATAGCTTGCGACCCATCTGTCATTACTCACTCGACGTTCGACAGTGAGCTTAGCGAAAGCGACCCTTGCCGCACGCCTACAGGCAGCGTACATTTTGAAGCGCCATGCATTTGTCTCAAATCTCTCCGCACGAAAGTGAAAATTGTGTTCCGGACACGTGGTGCTGTCTGAACCTCATTGGAGAGCATATAACGAGCCTCCACTACCATCCATCTCGCACTCCCAGTGCGGGTTGTGCTTTGTTGAATTGAACAAGCATTACGCAGGTGCTCTGCTTCCTCTGCAGATTTGCCTGAGCAGTGAAATTCTCATCTCTGGACGCCCTCCGGGGAAACCATCCGAGTCATCGTCATTCCAGGGGAACGCAGCGTGGCCTTTTGATTCCCCAGGACATGTTTGTGCGGCCGTCTCATTTTTCGCAGGGTGGGAAAATCGCCATCATTCCTGGAGCAGAAGGAAGCCCCCTCCTCCCATCGGTGGTGTCATTTTTGGATAACGGGCGTGTAGCTGTCGGCCAAGATGCAACAAAGCTTCTCGAGAGCCAACCGGCGAACACCATCTACGGCGCGAAAAGATTTATTGGGCGAGAGTGAGTTAACGAATGTTGGTCGTGTACTGTATCGACGCGCGGAGCATCTGCTTTTATTGTGGTACAACACGTCGGTTGGAGTTTAATTTTTGTACACATGTATTGGTCCGACCTTACCCCAAACCCTGTTGCCAAGCGCTCGCTCGCCTCCACATCCCTGTTTGTTATACCATGATCTGCATTCGCCGCAGATTCTCTGATAGCGCCGTCTCTGAGGAGGCAGCAGAGCACCAGTTCCAGCTGGTACAGACGAAAGAGGATCTTTCCGAAGCGTGGTTCAAAATCAAGTGAGGAAGGATTTGTGATTGGTTGTGTCCCACAGTCTGCGTGGCTGGGCGCTGCGGGAGGTTATTATCAACTTGGGACTACTTGTACTCCGTATGTGACCGTATAGTTCCACTGCCAAGGTACCTGCTACTCTTGATCGCGCTTCGGGAGTCCGCTCTCCCGCTGCTGGTCGCCGTTATCAGTTCTTGTAGGAATTTCTTTTGAAAAATTGATAATGTTGAATGCCTGGCCTATACAGTTTTTCACAGGAATTCTGAGAAGCTGAACGGAGTCCTGATGACATCTGGCCCTCGAAGTTTATCTTTTCTGGCGCGTGAATTTCCCTCTTGACCGTTGCATTTGCAGGCGCTCCGGGCATCCTCCTTCTGTGTCTCCGCAGATGGTAGGGTCCCATGTACTTGGTGAGCTACTCCAAAGGGCCGCAGTCTATTTAGGCCACTCGCAAGTGAGCAAAGCGGTTATTGCTGTCCCAGCGAAGTTCGATGCAAGACAGAAGGCGGCCACAGTGGAGGCGTTTCGCCTAGCGGGCCTTCAGGTTTGTTGACCGTCGCGTGCTTTCACGAACAAACTAGACAAAGTGCGAGAATCATACTGGTACAATGCACGCATCTGACCACGTTTTCAAATTTGGATGCCCAACTCCGCCGTCCGTGAACAGTGTTTGAACCTGGCTACCTTACCCGAGTATAATGGTCGACCTCGCCTGTCTTGAGCAGGTCATCCGAATGCTCGAAGAGCCAACAGCGGCAGCGCTGGCGTTTGGCCTCCATCGCAAGCCGAATGTGAACCACATCCTCGTGTACGACTTGGGTGGTGGCACGCTAGACGTCTCGCTTCTGTTTGTAAACGACGGTTCTGTGGAGGTCCTCGGCAGCGATGGAGACGACAACCTCGGGGGTAAGGCTTTGGCGTTTTCCAGATTGTTTGTCGCAAAGCTTGTATGTATGTTCGTCGGCAACAGGGTGGTCGACTTGTGTCCAGAGCTACTGCGGGCCGGTAAGGCTTTGGCGTTTTCCAGATTGTTTTGTCGCAAAGCTTGTATGTATGTTCGTCGGCAACAGGGTGGTCGACTTGTGTCCAGAGCTACTGCGGGCCGGTAAGGCTTTGGCGTTTTCCAGATTGTTTTGTCGCAAAGCTTGTATGTATGTTCGTCGGCAACAGGGTGGTCGACTTGTGTCCAGAGCTACTGCGGGCCCGTCTACTGTAGATTTTCTCTTTGTGTTTGTCGGCAGCATAACAGTTCCTTGGTTAGGCCTCCTACCTTTGCTCTCACCGCACGTCATTTAAGCGCTCGTTGACATGAATCCGTCATTGGTGTTTCTTCATTTTGTTTACATTTACGGTGTTATACCCTCCCATTATGCGCCGCTCGTCCTACGACGCCCTGGTTCCAATTTGGATCGGTCACGATCAGGATCTGACTTCGATCAATGCGTGGCCCATTTGCTGGAGCGCAAGCTTGACCGGAGCATTGTTGCGCTGGAGGAGGCCGAGGATGCGGTTTCGTGCGGCTTTACTACGCCGACATGCGCACTTCATAACCTTTACCCGCTCAGCGAAGGATTGCGACGTCTGCTGACGGACGGGGAGACCGCCGCAGTGGAGTGCATGATCCCTCCCGAGGAAGCCCAGCGACGAAACTTGCGGTCTCCAAAGAAAGGAACGCCCAGCGAGGATGGGGACAGTCAAGACGCGCATAGATTCGCGGGGGCTGAAGGAGAACGTTGCAAGATGTGGAATTCGCTTAGTTTAGAACTCACCAGGACAGAATATGAGCAATCTTGCGCTTCGTTGTTTGATCGCGGTGTAGCCCCGGTAGATCGTCTGCTTCATCACTTGGATTTAACAGTAGACGAGATTGATGAAGTTGTCATGGTAGGAGGGATGACACGAACACCACGAGTGCGGAGTTTGCTGGAGTCGCACCTTGGTGTGGACAGGTTAAACGTTGATATTGATCCGGACGTTGTGGTTGCGTATGGCGCGGCGACTATCGCACACTAAACCCTTGGATATACTGGAGGAGAAATGGTTAGTACGGTAGTGTGCTTGCCCTGGCGATAGCCTGCTGCGGCAATCGGATGATGGGGCGTTTGATCGTGACGTGCAGGGCGTGTATATAATATAGTATATATATAGTACCCCATGAAGCATTGCATCATGATATTTTGTCAGAAACCTACACCCGTCGGATAATGGACACCCTGGACCAAACGTTCCTATCAAGAACGAGAGATGGAGCAGAGAGGGTATAGACAAAATGTCCAGCCACTCGTCTACACGAAACTGAGCTCAGCGGGACTTGTCTATCTCCTATTAACATCATGCCGGCCAGTAGTGTTTCGTTAGATGCGCTTGGCATCCAATTTCAACCCCCGCCCCTGAAATGTGGGGCTTGGCCCTTTAGCGGCGGCGCGGCAGCCTCACGAAAATGCTTCGCGTTGTATCTGGAAAGGGCCGCTCGCTCCTTAGCTACATTCCAGCTCGTACTTCTGTGCCCCAGGTCGGTTCTGTTGGGCAACCAGCAGGGATTCTCATATATCCCGGTGATTCTTCTAAAAACAATTAGACTAGTCTAAATCCTCAAGTTCGTAACGGCCATCTACCTGTACATTAATCAAATAAACCTGCGAGTCGTTTGCTGACCGCTGCGCTTGCCTCTGCGCACGCTCAAGCTACATCCTCTACAAAAAACTAATCGTGCACGTCATACTTGTGATCACTGTACCGTATCTTGCCAGCCCTCTATAATCATGGGTGATCAATGCCGATCTAAGCACCCTTTTCTGTCGACCGGAGGCCAAAAACGAACCCACAACGTATCCTAAATGACCAAGTGTACTTGGTGAGCTCCGTCCGTACATGGTCAGCTACAAATGGTTAGTAAAACAAGTGGGTGCCGGATATATAAACCGTATCTTCTGCTGTTTAAAGCTGTTGTCCTTGTCCACAGCATAGTCTAGACTACACGATCGGCCGTCCCTCACGCACCCGTTCCAAGTAGCGATAGAGTCTGCCCGTAGTTGGCACTTAGTCCAATTCCTCGAAGTTCGTCGCTTGTTCCTGACAGAATTCAGCAACATGCTCCTGATAAGTCACTTCCACATTTCCGTCACACCCAACCTCGACAACCTCTTGTTTTTTTACCGTGGCTGGAGGTGGCGGTGGGGTATTCTGCAGTATTCGTTCTTCCCTGAGGCGTTGGCTTTCTGCTTCAAATGCACGAATTTCTTCGTCCACGTCGTTCGAAAGCTTCGTGAGGTCGAAGACGTCGTCGTCCAGGGGCTCCACGTGGTCAAGGCCGGGCGATCGTCGAATTCCGGAGCCCTGCGAAAGTATCAGTCGATGTGTCATTACAGCAGTACATGCATATTACTGTAGCACAATCGTAACTACTCAATTTAGGGGGCGCCTTCAGTTGCCAAACATCATCTGCCCCTCCTTCCCCATGGGACCACCTCAATGGGGCTGTCTCTCAAGGGTGTGCCACGAAGTAAGGGCGGAACAGCGTTGACACCCCAACTACGCGTGCGCACCTCTGGGGAGTCGGTGGCATCCGACGAGGGCGCTCGATGTGTTGAGGTAGATGGGGCCAGAATCCTAGCTGCACGACTCTGTCGAGCGTTTCTCACAGTTTCACAGTCGGTGAACGGGATGATGTCCTCGCCAGAAAACTCGTTGACAAGACGGGGAACTCGCGTGTTGCGTTCCTCCATAGTGTTGGACACCATGCTCTTTTGCTGACCGCGTGGGTTCATCTGAAAACAAGAGGGGAAACAGCGACAGCATCGTACAGTAGATATCTCAATCGATGTTGGAACGTCCTCACGTCAGGGCTGCTTGCGTACTGGTATCCTCTTGATATCCTAGATAGATATATACTCCGTATGGCTTTGTTTTCATTTCAACAAAGCCGCAGGTTCATTCAAATCTCCTATGGGGTGGTAGAACTCACCTGCACGATTGCCCCTGGTTTGAATTCGTTGAGCGTATTTCTTGGTTTTGTCGCAGTGCTGCATTTTGTACACCACAAGACGCCGATTTGTCGCGGGCGTGCGCGCTACGATGTGTTCTGCCGCCAAATTATCGTCTACGGCACTCGCTCACCTAGCACTACGTTCTTGGTCGCGCAGGTAATTGTTTTTCGTACACAGGGGAGAGATGTCGAATCGAAGTCACAACTCCCTACAGGCTGCCGGACAGGCTAGCGCTTTATTGCGCACATTGCGCTAGCACGCCAACCGCCACCCTCGAGCGCTTAAGTGGTGACAATCGCACCTGAGGAGGGGGAAGAGGTGGCAGAGGTAGGGTCTCTTGCTGACCGGATGTTCCGTCTCCACCAATAGATGATCCGGTGTTGCCCACTTCGCAGTGCTCGTTGGAAGTATCGCACAAAGGGGATTCTTGCCCCTCCTGCACAGTAGAAATTGAGACTTGACTACTGTCGTTCACCACCGGTGGCTCGGGCTGACCTGAAGCCTCGCTCTCCTCCGCCTGAGGAGTTCAACACGAAGCAATTATCCCGTCAAGGTATCCCATCACTGTGGAGTGCAAGTACTACTACTCTGCCCACGACGAGATCGTTTTGACGTTGAGACCCAATTCTTCCGTCCCTTAAATGTTGTGAGTAAAAATTTACGAACCCTTCGAGGTTCACAGTGTGCACAGTTAGACGATTGGGCACTCACATTTTCACTTAAGCTTTCATGCTGGGGTTTAGCCTGTTTCTTCGCTTCGAGCCCTTCGCGCATCATCTGCTCAATACACCGCGCGAGTTAACAAGCGTAGAGTTGTTTAGCAGCAACAACGGAGCACGGCCACACACATGAAACGATGGGCTTACTGTCCCCACATGGCCTAGCCCTTTTGAAGGATGCTTCACGACAAAATGGATCTTCTTGTAGCGTCGGTTCAACGAAAAGTTCACCTGTTCGAAAGCTAGATATTGACGCTGTTCCGCAGCTCGTTTCGACTCCCTAATCTTCGCCATTTCTTCCCTTTCCGCTTCTTGTGCCCGCGATATCCCGCCTTCAGCCATGCCTTTTGACCACGCCGCACATCGGCAGCGCTCGTCGTCAAAGACAGGCCTTCCCCACCCAATACGAACATGAGCGCAAAAACATGTTGTTGCTTAACAGCTGGGCGAAGATTTGTTGCATGCTCTCTAGATCCAACGTACTGCTGTGCCAATATGCCGGGTGCACTGGAGGTTCAATCAATGTAGTTCCACCGTGCTCATGTCTCGCTTAAGATCTCCCGTCTAATCTTTGAGAGCGCAACACCCTTGAAGTATTACCACATACTTCGATATATTGTCGGTCATACCTGTCGTCGAGGTACTTCAGGGTGGCACATTTGCTGACCAATGTTTTCCGATAGTGCCGGATGCTTTTGACGACAGGGTTTCCTTGGAGATACAGTACCCGCAGGTCATGCATAGCTGACACTATATCTACCACGTCCGGGTCGTTGATGCGGTTGTGTTGCACATCCAGGGTCTACAAGACAACAAGCAAAAAGGGTGCGGAACGACATGGAAACAGTCAGCCAGCCATAACACATTCCCCATGCTGAGTTGTATGCGAAAATGTTCCATGATCGCCACAGAGGAAACCATTTTTTTTACGAGAAATAGCAGTTCCTCACAACTACCCCCAGATGGACCTGTATTGACAGTCAATGTGTTTGCGTGCAACCTAGATAATCGTCGAGATTCGTCGGCTACGGTTCTTCTGATTAACTGGACATCCAGGGTCTCATTACAATAAGCAGTACTTCTACAAGTAGCATATAGTCTAGTGTCCAATTCATTGGCAGCTCTCGTAATACGCTGTGCTTCCAGAGTGAGTGCTGAAAAGCGGATACGGATTATCCCGTGTCGTTCAACGCAAGGGGCAAGTAATCCTGGATTTCGATCAACAGAACCAGGCTCTGGGGTGGATCGTCGGAAGCTGGTTGGTGCGCCGTACGCAGCCTGCACATCGATACCTGTAAACTGGGACATTGTAGAACTTGCCGCAGGTCGTCCGCTGTTTCGATATGATTGTTTGCCAGCAGCAGAGTGGTTAATCGGCCGAGGTGACTGATGTTCTCCACCCGCCTCACGAAGTTTTTGCTGAGGTTGAGCGTGTCGAGCTGTGGCATCGAAATAGACGTAAACGGAGAGCCTTGGCCTTCAAGTCGCGAAACAGATCGAAGGGCTGACGTCCTAGCGTGCAACTGTAGCGCCTAGCACAGATAGACTAGACTACACAGTGTTCGACACCCCCCCCCCATTGATATTATGCACGACGGAAAGGCCGCACAATACAAGCGCACTGCACTGCTTCCACTTGCCTCCAGGAACGAGTCTAGCCCTTCGATCTTCTCGATGAGGTTTTCGTGGGCGTAGAGAGTCTTCATTTGCGTCTGTGCTTCCATCCCCTCCAGTTTAGAGAGGCCATTGCCCTCGAGCCAGAGAACGCGCAAGCCTGTGTACTCCTCGAGGTTTTGGATTTGCCGAATGCCCTGTCAAAAAGATGATAAATTAAGAACGTTTGTTGTACCGTAAAGAAAAAACACGATAGCGCGGACCCCGCCCGTGAAGAGAGACCAAACCAGAGATGTCACATGCTCCCTCATCAGAATTTCTGGGTTCAAAACCAAGGCTTGTACATACTGCTGTTTTTACGAAGTTAACGAATGCGCTCGGGCATGTATATATACACCTATCAAAGAACTTGTGGCGATGATCCCAACAAGGGTCACATAATTCACACATATATCCCCAATTGGCAGGTGGTACCTTGTAGTGAAGATACAGCTTGTCGTTGAGAGATGGTGATGAGTACAGCCCACTGTCTCGGCATATTTTCTTGAGCACTGCCTTGGTTAGATCCATGTCCCTGTGCACGTGTGGACCTACGCACAACATTCATGCGGGTGAAGCTTCCTCACTCGATATCCGAGATCCGACCGTTATTTCTTCTCGCGTCACCCCCCCCTCCCCCGACGCCCGCCCCAATCCGTCTGCGGGGACTCTTTGGGGAGCCAGTGCGAAGCTCACTGTCACACCACACCACACTCATCTGTCCATCGTCACGAGTTTGTGCGCTATATCTTGGGGTTGAGGATTTTGGGTGTGGTGTTGATATGTCGACCCCTCTACCGTCGACGCTGGAAGGTCTCCTGCTAGAGGGCCAGAGGCTATACACGAAGGTTGGTCCAATATTTAGAGTGTGTGCCTGTCCTTTCTGTGCTTCGCAATGGCGGCGGCTCGGGTCCTTCAAGCAGTACAGCAGCAGTACCCTGTGTGCTCTAGGATACAGCACAGACATTGGCAGCATCCGTGTGAACTTCCCTTCTCATTGTTTTGCCGATTTCCCTCCGATGTCGGTCTTGTGTGGTAAGTAGGTGAGCAATGCTGACTTCGATGGCGATGAAGACAGGGACTACACCACAGCCAGGGCTAAGGCTGCTCTCGAATCTCTTCAGATGGGCGTGGCACGCGAAGGGGTGAGGTGTTCATCGTGTGGGTATGTTTCCCCCCGCAACCGTGTTGCGTATATATGGACCTACTGCTCTGTTGTTTGCATCAACCACCAACTATGTATTGTATGTGCGTAACAGTGTCCCGTTGTCAGTCTGCTGCTCTGCTACTGGCTGGCAACTCCTTCAAAATTCAAAATGGTGCGTGTACGTTGCGTTGTCTGGTATTACACTCGAACTACTGCTGTAGGCATACAGAGTACTGTAGGCATCAGCATACAGCAGTAGTATCATATGTTTCCGTCCCCCCTCTGGCACCAGCCTACACACATTTCGGTCTTCGGTGTGCGTTCTTAAAATATCTGCCGGGAGGTGGAAGTCATACTTGTACAGGAGTGTTTGTTTTGTTCTGGTTTGATGCCGCTGCTGTTTTGAGTTTAATCGCATCAAGGGTTTGGGTTCAGGGTCGGTCTTAACGAAGAAATCACATCTCGAATTCACATTTGGTTATAAGAATGCAAGAGTCGGATCTACCTTAATCCGGACAGAAATGGCCTGTGTGTCTTAACGGGAGATCTGCCACATGGAAACGAGTCTCTGCAGTCCACCACGAACAACCCGAGAGGTCCGCCGCTTGCCCAACTGCCAGATTGCTGTTGTGACGTACTGCTATGACGTGGCCACACCACATGGGGAGCTATCGCTCCCGAGAAGCACACACCAAACGCGTACATGGCCTCTGTGCGGTTCTGACACAATGTCTATGCATGTGACACTTTGAATCGACCCTCGTCCGACGGAAAGCCGCCAATTCGTCTGTGCATTTGAAGTTCGACAACCCACGGGAGATTGCCCCACAGACCAACACATCCCACACACGGTTTTTTTCGGGACCAGTCACGTGCAACAACGATGCGCAGTCACCCCCCCTTTGGGTTGGCTTTTTGCGCTCTTTCTTTCCTCTGGGCTCGGCGGTGGATGGAGTTCGTGTGGATGGGGGTAGGTGGGCACGCGCCGTGTATGCGAGTAGACCGTGGTCCTGCAACTATGGACGCTGTTCACCCAAATCGGGATTCGATTGAATGATTTCACCTTTTTTCTAATCCCGATTTGGTTTTGGGTCGTCCTGTTATAAGAAGATTCGACGGGTTCCATAACATTTCAGCCAATCAACGAAAGAGTTCTGTGGATCTTCCGGTCTTATAAACAAATGTGAATGTGATTTCGAGATCTGATTTCTTCGTTAAGACCGACCCTCAGCCGTCCCTTTCCCTCGTCGACCGTCAAGACCTCTATAATACTTAAGTGCATGTATGTAACAGCACTCACAAAATTATCGTTTCTCCATTCTTCTGTAGCTTTGTGGCGGAACCAGTGGAGTTTTGCATGTAGAGATTCGTACATATTTCTCCCCTTTGAGTGCGGTGTTTGAATCCAACTGGCGTCACGCAATTATTCGCAAAGAACGTATCACGTCCCTTGAGAGTAACTTGTTTCCCGAGTGGGTGCCTGAAGCCTGAGATGTTGATGCCGAACGGCGGTACTATTTCTGCGTCAAAACTTCGACCGTACTACTGTAGAACGAACGTGCGGTGGTAAACATCCAAACTACCGTTTCCGCCCGCTAGGGCGGTGCATCACCTCCAAGCAATACCCGAATTTTCTCGTTTATACACCACAAGTCCGCGAGAGCTGAAAATCAAGCACAGCGTGCTGTGTTGTGGTATTGGGCTACTACTGATTGTCAGGCGTGTGCGATTGCAAAGCGCCTACGACACGCGCCTGCAGCATATCAGCGAAATCAAACTGTCGCATGGGACAGCGTGGTGTTATTGGATAGGAACGGCAAATTGTGATGACACTGGAAGCCAAGCCAGTGCCATCGGCCGACCATTTACTCTGCGAGATCACTGCGTGGCGTATCCACGGATATGGCTATCGGCAATGAAGGCGTTGGTGCTTGTCTCTCTGTGTCACAAGTGTTCCTCCTCATCCCAAGATGCAAAGACATACAGGCCAATAGTTCACGCCGACAGCAGTATGTATAGTTTCATCGGGAATTTTGTTCAGCGCATCCGCAGGATAGGCCCATCCCCAGGTTTGACCCAGTTGAGCCCAGTTGGGCCATGACCTCGTGCTCCTCCCACTGGCATTGACTGCGATGAACGTAGAGGGGGCTCCTCGAGCAAGCATGACAGTGCCCTCCATCTGGAAGCTGCTGATATCCGATGAATTTGTTTTTTTGATCGGGAGAAATGCTGCGCCCCCACATGTGAATTGAAGCCGTTGCCGCTGTTGCACCCGATTTGTTCAGCTCTCAGGAGACAACTTCCGCGCCAACGTTTCACATCGATAGAGTGCCCCAACGCAGCTCAACTCCACCATGCTCGAGATAAAGGCCCATAGAAGGAGAAAATCGTTGGTAGGATAGGGATCAGCAGTACGGCGATCGGAACGAGCTTGCAGCAGTCAGCCAAATAGATGTACATGAAATCTCACCTCCGGTATTTGGCAGATGGCCTGCGGCGCGGTGCGCAAACGCCTCCAGTAGTGAGCCTAAGCCTACCTGCAATAATCCTGAAGAGTTTTGTTGAATTGAAAGCACGCCAACAGTCAGAGGGTGAATAGCTTGGCGACTGCAGATTGGGTTTAGATAGAGTTCTGGTGATCGCCCCGATGGTTGAGAGATGGGGCAGAATAACCGAGAGTTTGTCGCGGCACAAATCTCTCGTGTAGCGATTCCATGTTTGCTTTATCCACACAACAAGCATACTTGGCGGTGTTTCTATAGGGAGCAACACCTGTGGTGTCGGATATCTGGTCTTGGGAGCCCCGTATGGTGGGTAGTGAGGATGGGTGTGTAGTAGCTCTCTTTTCGTGCTTTCCCTGGGGGCGAGCGTTTCTATTTCGAGTAGTGTTGTGGGACGCCGGTTTGTTTGGATGGAGAGCCCTCGCGGCCCTAACGTGGTGAACCCGTTCGTATCCTTACAGGATCATACGTCTTGGCAGTACGTCTTGGCAGCAACCTCACAGGCTTTGCGATTGAGATATTGGGGACGAGCTAAATGATATCTATTTCCGTCTGCCTGTTTGTCTGCCGCTTAAGTGATCCACTGTAGTCGTGGAGAACGCATTGGTGTCCTCAGGTTGGAGTTTCAACCCCCCCGGGCATACCAAAAGTGCGGCCTGACTTGACATCTAAATACAGGAGAGCTTCATCATGTCGCATCCCGTGAAGTCGCTTATTCTGCTGGAACTTGCCCTGAGGATGCTCTCATCATGAAGTTAGACTGAAGCGAACTTGGGCTATGGTTGGTGTGCACCCCCACTGCTTTTTGTACTGCGAGGTTTCAGGATTGGCACATTTTGACCCAGAGAACACCGGTAATGTAGGGATTGAGTATCGTACACCCAAGCAAACCCCATTCGCGGATTTCGCGTTACGAAACCCGTAAGTAGAGTAGATCCCCCATCTGTCCCTCCCCCTCTCCTCTCAGAATGTCATCCGTTTGGGGGCATGCGTTGCTGCTGTACGTTTCACGCGCTCTCTTGTCTCTTCGTCTGTGTGGTCGGGACATTTTGGAGCCCCACTGTCATTCCTGTGCTCGCGTCGACCCTTTGCTCCTCCTGTTGTTCCTGAAGGTATTTTCTGCAAACGAAGAAGTGGGAGAGATTGCGACGCCGGTTTTGCCGCTGTTGGCGACAGACTTTTATTTGGGCTCGTTGATGATCAAGTTACCCTTCACAAACCCGCAAGTGAGTGAGACCAGCTCATCAACCTGTTACACATGCCCGATGGTTGAAATGGAGAAAATACATATAGACGTGTTCTTCCGCAATCGCCAAGCTGAGATCGGGTTTCACAGATTGGGGGGTAATTTGGTGCAAGTATCAGACAAGCGGCCGCACTATGAATGTTGCATCATCAATGAGAGCGCCCAAATCGTGCCAGAGTTAAACCGAAACCCAACTGCAATGCCTGGTCAATACAGAGACCGATGTAGTGCTTTCGAAATTTGCACCACGTCGATGGTTGGTGCGCTCATGTTCACGGTGGCTACATTGATGGGCATATGTTTTCATCCGCATCCCGAAACACCTCAATTTGTCTTGTTGTCAACAACCCCGGAAACGATTCTGCACAACGTGGCGCAGTTGTGCTGTTTTACTATATTAGCCTCTCACCTTGACCGCCCTCAGAGCGGCTGGATCAAGCGCCACCTAAAGTGTGACCGATGAATGGACACACGTATCGGTAACATATGGACACACACCGTGTTGTGCCGCGCAGATTCGCCTCAAGGTGTTGGAACAAGCGGAAGCTCTCCTGTTCAAGTATCTCGATACCTGCGAGCGCCTGCAATTGTTCGACGCAGCTGACCTTCAGGCGTGGCAGGCCATGCTCAAGGAAGCAGAACGTTCAACGTCTGGCGACCGGCAAGCAATCACGCGAGAGCAGAAAATAGAGAGGTTCAGGTGAACGACAAGGTTATATTTTTGTGGTCTTCTTGAACGTTTCTGCAGGTGGCGGGGTGCAACCCCCTCTCTTGACCCCCACCGAGCACGTGGGACATGAGACCCAGATGGCTAACACGCGTAGTCCGGATTAACTGGCATGTGCACCACCCGCACAACAGCAGTAGATGCAGCACAAGCCGGTCGTAGCGCATGACGGAGTCTGAACAACCGTGGTGGATATTGGAAATGTTTGGGTTGACGTTCCCGCGCTCTGCTGGATTGGTGTTCGCAGGAGACAACAGAGAACCCAGCAGAAGATGAAAGAGATTGAAGAACTTCTACGTACGGAGGGCAAGGTAAAGTACACTCTCCTGCGGATTGTTGCTGTTGTGCTGTTGGAGGCTCGGTATCACTGTTATAGGTCAGAGTGGCGAAACGAACAAGGAGTACATTAGTTGAACCCGGAATAAGCACTGAATGTTGCTCTGTCTGTCTCTCAAACCCCAGGACTGCGAAGACGAGGGCGAAGGTGACGGCATGAAGCGAGAAAGGTCGCTCCTGCTATTGGCTGGTCTAGCTTCTGAGGCTCTAGACGGGGTGTCCGGTATGAGCAAGGTAATTAAGTCTTTGTCCCTTCTTGCAACCTGTACTCACGAGAAACGAAGGCTCGAGTGAGGCTGTGTCGATAGCTGTTGTCGACGTAGGGTTGTTGTGGCTCTTGCGTTCTTTGTGTGCAACGGGTCTACCAAGCATCAGATTTGTGATCGATGTCTGTGCTCCACCTGTCTGCCGGAGCGGCAAGTTTGCCTAATGCACATTGTCTTCCTCTAACTCTGCAACTCGCTGGAAGGAAACGGAAATGCTGAAGCACCTCGTGAAAGCCAGGGAACAGGAAGGGGCGGGGCCTGATGGGCAACATGCGCGCGCACGTCGAGACGAGGACGATTCCATTCGTAGCAACGGTTTAGAGGTGGGATTTTCACTTCCTACGGGATGTTGGAGACAATACGTTGATGGTGACGTTCATTTCTGTACAATCTGAAGATAAACCGCGAGGCCCACGCTCAGTACCCAGGAACCACGCCTCCATGCGAGTGCGTCGCCGCATTGCATCTCTTTCTCAGACGGATAGTCAAGACGTGTTTCTTGGGACACGATATTCAGTGTTAGTTGCCTTCTCATTAAATAGTGGACACACGGTCCTGTCAACTGCTACCATTCAAGTTTGCGGTGGTCATCAGCCCACAGGGAGTGATATTCTTGTATGAGGCAAACGACAAAAAATACTTCCCGGGAAGGTGACACACCACCCAGTACCGCTTTTTCAGAGACTGCAGCGGGGAATACGGATACCAGGCTTTTCGAGTCGGCTTTCACCGTTTTCTATTGCCCTGGTCAGCGTTTGTTGACACAATCATAACTCCTCAAAGAGCACTCGTGATGCGACTGCGGACCTCTCAACTTACCGTTCATGTGCGGAATGACAACAACCATCACAGCAGATCCAACTCCAAGGTCCGAGCACCAACAACAACACCTCAACTCACCGGGGCCTCTTGACTCTCGACCTTTTCAACCTTTTCTGTGCCGCCGCCGCGCGCGCCACATACACATACATGTTCTGAGATCGGATTGATTTCCCCGTGTCTCCAAGATCAACTCTTACTATTTATTTGGTCAACTCATTTCCAACAACATTTTTTTTCTCTGCTGCGTGTGTGTATGTCGTCGGTAACGACGACATTACCTCGTACCTACTGGTTGGGCCCGACCACCACGCGCTTATGTTGTGTCTTACCCTGCCGTGTTGCGAACTAGTTGTGCACTAACCTGAAACGAGTTGGGCTGAAACATGACAAGATGATGGCTCAAAAGGCATCTCAACCATCGGTTAGTCCTACCTCAACAGCTTGCGATGCCTAAATGCTCAGGGACAACACTACTACCACAGCAGTCACCATTGCAGAAGCGAGCGCACTAGATACATGCTTGGATCACCAGTCCCCCATGGGCCATCCACCATCCTACTTCCTGCGTGACTTGTCTGCTTGTCGATTCACGGAGGTCTGAGGTGTGGTTGTGTGGTTGTGCCAATTCGGAGAGTTTTGATGTTGCAGACGAGGGACTCTTGGCACATAGTTTTATTGTGTGTTGCACGCGCACGCGTGGCGGCCCCACCGAAGAGGTTGAAAAGCTCGAGAGTCATGAGACTCGGCGAATTGAGGTGTTGTTGTTGGTGCTCGGATATTGGAGTTGGATCTGCAGTGATGGTTGATGTCATTCCGCACATGATCGGTTAGTCGAGAGGTCCGAAGTCCTATCAGGCCGAGTGTTCTTTGTGAAGGAGTTGTTTTTTGCGACAAGGGTGACCAGGACGATAGAAAACGGTGAAAGCCGACTGGGGAAGCCTGGTATCGGTATTCCCCGCTGCAGTCTCTGAAAAAACGGTACCGGGTGGTCTTGGCCAATCAGCGTGGGGCCTCGGGGTCAATTCCTGAGTGAAGTCTCTGCGTACCGTTTGATTTCACCTGAGCCTCTCGGTATACCGTGTTCTGCTTTCTGTCGTTTGCCATATCTCTGTGTCTCCGATTCTGTTTCATACATATGGTACAAGCTGGTCTGACCAAGACGCAAATTTGAAGCTTGGAGCGGATTTCCCACGCGGTTTTTTCGAGTTAGAACCTGAAATTTTGACACGGCATCTGCATGAGTACTATAAACACAAAGGCCACTGCGCCATTTGGATTATTTTTTTATTTCGTAAGTTGGGCTGATATTAGTATTCATGGGAATATTTGCTATGCCAAAAAGTCGCAGAAAAAAAGAAAAAAGTCAAATGGCGCAGTGGCTTTTTTGTTTGTTGTACTCATGGGGATGCCGTGTCGAAATTTCAGCTTCTAATTCGAAAAAACAGCGTGGGAATCGCGAGATCCTTACGTTGCCTCAGAGGTCTCGTGTGTTGTATCGGATTCTTTAATAGGCCATAACTTCTGATGGAAGATGCCGTGAGCCTTGAAACTACCATCTTTGCTCTCGCGATGTTCCCAGGTACATGCACAGCAATTTTCAGCTTGATCTGAGAAACTTTTTTTCATGCTGATTTCAGTACAGGAAGTATCCCAACTATGCCGCCAATTGATAGTTATATACCTAAAATCAACTCAGATCCGAAAAATTCCGGCACCCGCGCATCCCCTATGGTCTTATACGAGCACCCGCCAAATTTGAAGTCTAAATTCGTTGAAACAGCAGAGTGGGACATGAAAGAACGAAAGTTAGCTTCTTGGTCAGACCAGCTTGTAGCTCATCTCCCGAGCGTCTGTTGAGGGCGATTTCCTCTTTTCACAATGTCGCGGTGAGATGTCTGGTTGTGGTGGAAGATAACCCGGGTTCAGATCTCGCCACCCACCAAATATGATGGCAACCACACCAAGGAGTGGTGGGAGACAACAAATAACAGGTTTTCGAATGTGTGGAAGTGCTGATGAAGTGGCGGACGTACGCACCCTTGAAAATAAGCGGAGAAAAGTATCAAGTGACTCAACTCGCCGTCAGCCGGGCAGGTCGCGGTTACCCCTGTGCATACAAGTATTTTCTACAATACCAGGAGGCAAACAAGAATGTTCCACATAAGGAAGGGGGGTAATGTGGAGGTGACGTTTTCAAGGGGTCCCATCTCCTCCAAGTCTGTAGACGACGACCCCCCCTTTCGACACAAATGAACAAACTCCACGTCCGTAAAAATCGTGGTTGTTTGCTGGTCGACACGTCGACCCCTACCCACGCATGCAAGACAATGATTTGGCCTATGCCCTGTATGACGGGTGACATCACGCCCCCTTGGGGCGATTGTTGTCTTTTTTTTCTCGGCGATGGGGGTGCTTAGGCCAAATGGTAGATTTTCAGAAGGCGATCAGGGCGTCTCACCAACATACGTTGTGGGGGAAAGGGGGGCTTCGTGTGGAAACCATGAACGCTGCTAGACTGGGGGCCGAGTAGGTCGGGAGAGGGGGAGGGGGTGTCAGTTATTCCCGGGTAAATATAAACGTATTCTCCGGGAGTTCTACAAGGTTTGACGCCGGCATTTTCCCCGCTTGCGCGGGACCGCACACGGAGTGTGTGTGCCCAATTTTGGGATCATGTCCGCGGCCGAATGACCACTGCGCGAAGACGAGGGCAGTGCCATCACACAAAGTATTGTTACTGAGCTCATGCGGGGTGTCCCTGGCATCAGACTGTCGCAGAGGGGGATTTTTTACCGTGGTGTGGCGAACGGCTGACTGATATGGGTATAGCGAAGGGCGAGATGATCAAAATCACGAGTTTAATTGCCAGCGCTCCGTCGGACCCCCCCAAAGACGTTGCCGATCGCGAACGTGTATGCACTAGCATACGGGACGTGAATTATTTCACACTCGAATCCTGCCAGCGTATTTTGCAATGATGGAAGAAAACGTGGACACTTCACCGACATGTTTGGAGCACTTCACCGGTCCCATGCGTTCATGTCGTTAGCCTACCATGTAATTGCTAATACCCATATTGCGCACGAACCCGTGCCATCTGAGGCACGCTTTTCCCGCATATGACACGTTGCGCCGAATTCTTGTTCGAGGATTGTCCTCCGAACACAGTAGTTTGGCCCACTTGTGTCGTGACGTGTACCTGCTCGTTTTCGTTTTGCCCGACAAGGTCACACACATTTCACGCGTTGGAGGAAACCTGCAGATTCGCAAAGAAGATGTACGTGCTAACGTCTTCAAGCCAACGGTTGCGCTTCCTACTATGACCGTGGAAGAGTTCGGAGAAATAGAGCTGGAGCGCGCGACAGAACGCACCCAACAGGTGAAGGCGAATGCATCGAGGTTATTTTTCCGGCCGCGGCGTAGTCTCCTTGACGGTAGTGCACCGCTGGTGCGGGATCGAGGTGTTCATCGGTTCTAGCGGTAGATCCTACAGTTTTAGTGCAGACTGCGTGCTCTACGGGTACTGAAATCAACCTCAAGCCGCCCTTGACTTCTACCGTAGTTCGTTGTGCGGGATACCTGCCGCGGAACCGTTTCCTGCTGACCGCGTTTGACCTTCTTGGCGGGTGCTCGAGTCGGTTTCTTCACGACTGGGGACGAGCGATGTTCAATATCGCAGCACCGATTTGATTAAACCTCTCTTCTAAACTATGGACAAAATGGCACCTCCCTAGACAGCCTCCCTGACGTTTGCCTGCCAGAATACTTAAGTCACGTTGACGTCCGAACGGTATCCAGGACTTGGAGCTAGAAATTAGAGTTTTGTGTTTCCGGTGATGCAGCCACAAGATGCCCATAATGCACGCGCGAGGTATTGAAGAATTTAGACAGATGGTCTTTGCGACGACAAAAAGATGAGCGCGATGGGTTGCTCGCAAACATGTCGCGTTTCATCATGCAGGAGGCGGCGGCCCAGAAGGATTCGTCTTCGACGCGGCGAAGATACGACCAACTGGAGATGGACGGAGATGAGGATGACGAGGATCTTGTCGAGCAAGCGGCGTATCACGACCGCGCGTGGGATGACTGGAAAGCCGAGAATCCCAGAGGGGCAGGGAATAAAGCGAACAAAATAATTTGACTCGCAAGGCCCTACCCTGCATCGGATGTGCACCAGACTGTGTACAACCCCGTGTTCCCGAAGAACCTTCGTAGAATTGAGTAGGACGGGCTCAAAAGGGCTGCCGTACCGCACCAAAACGTGGCGCTGTAAGCGAATCCTATTTTACAGTGAACCTACCTATTTAGAGATCGCCAATGGTGCGCGTTGTATTCACTGCGCTGTGTATATGTACAGTTTGTCGTGGCCAGCAACAGCGATAATGTCTTCCTTGGGATGCCAGGACATGTGAAGGATCTTCTTGTCGTAATCTATCTCTCCAACAGGATTCCGCGCCAATCGTCGCTTCGCTTTCTTGCCGCCGGCCTTTTTGGACGGGTCTTTACAAACCTGTTCGTGAGACGCATGGGCATGGCGTGACAAATACGAAGTCGCCCTGGTTGTCAGTTGTGCCTCGAATAGCTCATATAAAACGCAGTTGCTAGAAGTGAAACGAGGTTCTGGTTACGGACACACTAGGCGTTTTTTGGCATGTCACCGATGGGTCAGTGTTTCTTACTTCGAAGTACACTGTGGGCCACAATTTGGAGTACATGGTACATAGCATACAAACGCGGTTTGAATGTTTTTCCAGTTGGGCCTCACCAATGGGCAGGTGCGTTGCTGTAGAGAGAACCTCCCAAGCTGTGCTCTACAGAACAAATATTCATGCACTTTGGATGTTTCAGTTCTTTTTCAGCGTTATGATTTTACGAGAGTCGTTCCACCCCATGAACGTGTCTCAAATTCACGAAGAAGGGGGTCTCGTTGACCGAGCTGGCACACGTGGTGAGGTCTTGAAAAGGGGCACCATATTCTGCGACCCTTGTACAGAGACGGGCCCGGAGAAACTAAACGTCAAAATCTTGCATCGCCTAGCTGCGGTTCTTGACCCAACTGACCTATTTTCTTATTTTCCGTGAAAAACTTGAGCCAGCCTCAGTTTCTCAAGCACGACGTCTTGTTGGCTACAAAATGCGTGCCTACGTGCAACTCACAAGACATCTTGGAGGAAATTTTCCTCCAAGATTGTCCAAAGAGCACAGCTGTGGAAGCCTCTTTCCTCGAAAACTTGACACTCAAGCGAAACAGTCCCCGGCATCCGCTCGGAAGATAACGATCACAAAGCGCATATCGCCTTTTTCTTCAATTTTGTCCAACCAAATACAGCAGTAGTCTATGTAACAATATTTTTCCCTTCTTGTGGCCCTGAGGAAGAAGCTACAGCAAGCACCTGGATACCCACATGGAGTAATCGTCTCACCTCGATCGATGCCATCGCCTGCCCATATCGGTCATACATATGACACATGTTGCTGTACGAGCCCGTGAGCACGTTGCTCGCGTCTCCACTCACGGCACACTCGAACTTGTCGAATATGCAATCGGATTCGTATAGATTGCAAAGCTGCGAGCAGAGAGAAACATTTTAGTAGGTGTTTCGATTGTGAGCAACATTTTATGTCTGCGGCAGGGTTGTCAATCGTACTACTGCTGTAGGAGGAGCGGTCGTGCGAGTGAACTACCAACAACACTCGGATTGCGTTGGGCCTGTCTTACTCTAAGACTTCCGTACATGTATATTGATGTGGCAGAATTTCGAAAGGATAAAAGTTTTCTGGCTCCTGTCCGTTTTTCTCCGATACGTCCTGCCCGAAACCCAAAACGCAATAATACGAAAACAATCAAATAAATCAAACAGCCCAATAAATATACCATAGATTACCAATATAACTGTGGAAAACGTGAAGGTGTACCGATTATGTATGGTAAAAGTCAATCGACGGATACCTTAGGGATCGGGTCCCCCTTAACTTAAAGACGTCAACACATGCTCGACCGGCGGGTAGTTACAGTATCTCGAATGGGTAGTCTTTCCCTTGTGTGACGTACATCCCGCGTACACACATGTATTAGTGTACCTCCCCTCCCCCGGAGGGCCGAAAAAAACGTCTGGACGATTTGCGTGTCTTGCTTGGTGTTTAGAGCCCACTTCACGCAAGCCGCACATGGGAACACATCATGTGGTACTACGGAAGTGAGGACGTTTCACGCGTACGTTTTGAGCGGGTCAGGTGCTGTCTTGGTGTGCTCCGTTCGGGTCTCGCGTGATCCATGACTGTCGTGGGAATCCGAGAGGATTACTCGCGCATACGTTACAGAAACGACAACGGAATTGCCCGCGGGGCCACTATGCCTTGCGTAGGAATAAGACCGGTAAATATGTGTGTGCAGAGTTTTTGATGCACCCTTGGTGCTACGTATTTCGAAGATATTTTTAAATGTGACTGGACTCAGGCGCCGCCGGCACCACACCAAATCGTTCGTTAGATGACAGCATCGCAAGGCCTGTGGTCAATCGTTGAGACACCAAGGCTTTGAGCCTTTTACGAAAAAAGAGAGAAAGGCGATTACATAGTGGTAGAGTCACATTTTTTCGTAGGACCCTGCCTTCACAACCACCATGACCACGGCGGCTTCAACATCCCCAAGCAATCCACTCTCTTACAGAATGCCCCCCCCCGTCGCACGCGAAATCCCCTCCTCCCGGTGTGTGCCATCGGGGCTGGGTTTTCGTCGCTTGGCAACGACGTGGTAAAACAAGCCGGTCGCTTCGTGAGCTCGACATCCGGGTTCCCCCCTTTTTTCTTAAGCGCTTGGTGATGTGAGAGCCTGGTCCAATGAGAACCCGGTGTGCTCCGTCCCGTCTTTGTAGGTATGCGAGGTCAATGGTCGGACAGCTACATACGGCATGCACGACTATGAGTACACCCCTCCTGCCCCTCGCGTGCGAAAAGAAACATCGTGGGTTCCTTTTAGCAGATGCCCGGGTCCCTCTTTGTCCTTCTTTGTGCGAGATCCGAGCCGGCCAGGGTTAAGGTTTTGGCGATTCTATTGGTATTTTGTGCTTGGAGGGGACGGAGAACTCGTGGGAGATTGCAGAAAAGTACACATAGAAGGCATGTCGGGAGTCTGACCTGAGGGCGCAGATGTTCGTGGACGTTTATTGTTTTCACTGGCCTCGCTTCCATGTTGACGTCCCATAGCTTCAGTGTCATGTAGTCTCTCGAAACGATGTAACGACCATCGGAGGTACTCTTGATGTCCGAAATAGACGCCACGATCTCCGAAAAGAACGATTGTGCCGAGGGCTCGGCTGGTTTCTCCAAGACTGAGAGGGAAAGGAATGAGGGCGTGGCAACCATTCAGGACCCACACACGTAATACATGTATCCATGACTATTGCAAAATAGAAATAGCCTATGACACAAGCCACAGCACCTTTCGGTACCAGTGAGCTCCCTGAGTCCTCGCTTCCATTGTCAACGCCTTGCAATTATTTAAGCTATCCAAGTGTTCAGTACTGACAAAAACAGTCACAGAAAACCAAAAAACAAGTACTGCTTACCTTTTGCATGCTTATCACACAGAGCGGATGCTCTCATGTCGCCCATTTTGATGCACCCACGACTGCTGCTATACAAAAACACGTTACAGTGTGACGGGTGAAACGTCGCCGCCGTGATAACCTCCGTAAGCTCTTCCATACTCTTGGGCTTCATATCCAGGATGTCTGAAACAAAGTTTGGCGGGCGGATCGGTTCAATGGATGTAATTCCACGCAGATACTCTCACGGGGAAGTCACAGCGCTTACGTCGAAATTTCTGTGTCTTGCAAGGCAAGCGATCCGAGACGTTTGACCTATGGAATTTAAACCAGAAAATGCCCTCGTTCAGGCAACTCGTGATTGGTTTACAAAGATGTCTCGAGCGTGGCCCGTGCTCAACCGAAGCAACCTACGCCAAACATGGGTAGTTTAAGGAAATCACTTACTGAAACTCCTATCGGTGATTTCCAGGTTCCACATGTTTATCCGCAGGTCGTCTGCAGAAATGAAGTGCTCTCCATCACTGTTCGGGTCTACCGAGTTCACGTGGTATGTATGCGCATTCGCGAACACTCTACGAAGGCTTGTCGTTACCGCCGTTCCAGCTACGGACACTTGTGGTAATGTCAATGCCCCTTTGCGTCGTCCGATCCCTTCCCTGACCGCGTTCGGCATGGTGGTCGTGACTTTCTTCATTTGCTTCTCGCGGACCTTCCACAGTTTTACTGTTTTATCTGGAAACGAAATAGAGGACAGCATGTGGACGGCAAACATTTGGATATCGGCATGAATGCCACAGACATGCACCGCGCGACAAACCTCCAATGGACGGAGACATGGAAGGAATCATCTGCAGACGAAAGACAGTGTTTGGACGAGGTGGGGCAGTAAGATCACGATAGACGAGACAATAGTTCCTCGCTGGAGGCTCACCGTTCGTAGCCAGAAGGAAGAGCGCGTCGTTGACTCTTGGGCACCATTTTATTGCGTTGATTTTCTCCTCTATTTCCAGACTTTTGAGGTAGTCGAACTCGGCTTCATGGGACTGAAATTCAGTGAAGAACTTGAAGTCACTGCTTCGTCGCACTTTGCCGCAAGAGTGCATCTGCCGTTGCCAGCCGTTGCCAAGATGCTCGACGCTTGTGATATACAAGTATGAAGAAAGTTGGAGACGAGGTCTCTACGATAATCACTCTTAGTTTTCATGCGAGCATGCTGCTGTGCTAAAGCTGCAGATGACGTTTGCAGAAGTTCTCATGGAACACTACGACGACAACCAACCGCGTTACTTAGATTAGAGCACAATGTGATGGGAGGACGAAGTTGCACTCGAACGACTTCTTGATACGATACAATACGAGGTATCATGTGTAGGCTATGCATATGCAGTACTTGTTCAATTCATATTCCTACTCCAAGTAGTCTTTGGGCATCTGCAATATTGCTGTCAACCAGACATCGCTTGTGTTCTTACGACTGCATTCACCTTTGCCTTGCCTCCACTCTTCTTGAATATCACGACTCTCCCCCCTCGGTCCCCCGTTGCGAAATACTCTCCGGAATCGTCAAAACTAACCGTGGAAAGGATATCCGCTGCCGGGTTCGAAAACAAAGAGATAAATGGGCCTGCAGTTTAGAAAAAAACCGACGTATGCCCCCCCCTATGGGGGACAGTTGACTTGTGACCACGGAAGGCGTCCGCGTCAGTTGGACTGTTATAGTTCGGACATTCGAAGGTACTGAGTGGAGACCGGAACGGTTTTTAATGTGAAGACAACAACAACAATGCATACATAAGCTACGATATGGAAGTAGGCTCCGTGTCGCTGAGGTGTGTGTGTTTCAACCACAGGGAATCTGAGCTTTTGCTTCGACCGATTTGTTCCTCCTCCTGTAGAAACGTGCGGCCCCGGCGCGTGTTTATGTCTGCATTGCAAACAAACGTACTCTCATTTGTATGTATAGCAGCCAGAGTCGGGAATATGGTTGAACTGTTAAATGGTGAGGGTCACTGGCATATTGTACGAAAGTGGTACCTTTCAATTGGTACCTTTCTTTGGGGCACGCGGGTACTGTAGTACCGGATCGGACCTGGATCAAATGACTCATTTCCAGACGGTGAACGGGTTCCAGCGATACACCACATCGTGTAATACCACATAACCGATCATGGCAGCACAATTCACCTTGCGTTGCTTCCTCGGCTGGTGAGCAGTCGCCAAAACATTGGCTCAGCTTGAACTCCGGCGCATTTTTACCGCTCATGACATCATCGTCTTTGCACACAGTTGCCGCTGGCGACAGAGTTGATGGACAGACACTTGATAGTAGTGCAGGGCTCTCCACACAATAGCTTGGCAGACTACCAGCGGTTCGGGCTTCCACTCTGCCATCCTCGACAGCGATCATCGAAGCTGGTCAGCTTGCTCTATATCCAGGTGTGCCGGTATCTAGAGTAGACCCAAATTGGTTGCTGCACGAACAATTGCCGCTCGTGGATCTGCTTATTTCACCCTCGCAGCCTGGCACCACTCCGTATAACGGCGGTCGGTGTGTGTTTCGTGATCACACACACTCACTCGGGGCTTCTCAGAACGCCAGATTCTCACTACCTCACGAGTTTTCGTGTGGCGTATACAAGTACGTTCCCCTACACATACGCCGCTGCCGAGGTGACGAATGCTCTTGCTTCCTAGTCCCGTCTACAGCACGAAAAAATTGTCGCAATTGAAGAAAGATCAAGATATCGACAGCTGATACCCGCACGTTGGCAGAGTGCTCTCTCTCTCTCTCTCTCTCTACCACACCTCCACACGTTAGACACCGCGATTGCTTTGCTTATCAGGAACAGGAGCCCGCGCAGTCTGTATGCTGATATAGTACTTGCCCTAGAGCTGGATTTAAGTTCCGTTTCTGTTTGAGCTTGAGCCGTCATCAAACGTCCATCAACCGTCACACGAGGATTTCCTCATTTATTCATTTGTCTCATTTTGTAACGGTGGGGTTCACCCTCTGTGCAAACCCCACAGTGACGTTCCACGTTTTTGCCCCTGGGGACCCCACGCATGACCTCAGCGTAACCCCCAATTATCAACAACATCACGACATCTGTCTGATCTGCCCTGCTGCCTCACCGCCCGCGTCCCTGTGTCTTTCTGCCTCATCCCTTTCCTCAAATCTCCCGTCCTCCTCGTGCAACACACACCAAGGTATGAAGACATGATGCATGCCGTAACCATGGGTTGGATTAGTGGATCCGCTGGTCCTTTCTTCTTCCTCTCCCTTCCTTCCGCACGTGGATGAGGATCCTGTGGCTATCGTATGCATATGCGTTCGAGAGAGTCATCAGAGTCTCTGAAAGACGGCACACACGGCTGTCAGGCTGAGGATGTTTGGACCTTGACGAAGTAATCAATGCCCTGCTCTTCATGTATCATGCCCTCTTCATTGATTTGTAACATCGCCGACGGATCCACCCCGTCGAATACCACGAGGCGAGTTTTATCATCAAAAATTACCACCACTGCTGTGGCAGAGGAATTGTGATGCAACCCCGTTGGCTATCTGCCCTCCGTCCCGACGCCGATCTCCTCGCCGGTACCCATTCGCGCGCTGCCTCTCTCCTTCCTCGTCCATCACTTGTGATTCTAGGAGTAATGCGGCCGGATATTTATTTCCAGATGTGTTTTGCCGAAGTCCCGTCTGATCAGTCGCAGCAGGGCGTGAAAACGCCCAGCTGCTGCGCGGTAGATTTTACGTGTACACTACAGCAGTACTGCTGCAGTGACTTATCGTTCACGTTGCCGGCCGTATCCGGCCGCACCTAGCCACACCCTCATCACTTGTTGATAGCTCACCCTTTTTCCTCGTGTACCTGGCCATGTTGTTATTGTTGGCGCTGTACAACTGCTGTAGTACCTCTCTGGAGATTTCGAGGGTAGCAGCACTTACTGCACTTTGCATACCGCGCTTCCATTTTTTTTGTCTTGACTTGAATATCAGGGCTCAGCGTTGTTGTTGTGCCGTTTTCTCCAACCCGTGGCCTCACAGAACGGTTCCTCTCCCTGAGACCCCATACCCACCCCTCCTGCGGTCCTTTTCCTTCGATTTTTAATGCGAGAAGCGACAAGAATACAGCACTCTCTTCCCTCTGTGTACGCACGAAATAGCGCTTTCCGCCCAGGCACGGATCGGAATCGAGAGACAACTTGAACGCTGATTTTCCATTCGAAGTGCAATTTTCTCCCGTTCAAAGCAGAACTTGTAGTTTGTCAGCTGCAGTTTCCTTTGTCTATGACATACTTGAAAGAACTACAGATTCGCCGTTGGCGTTGTTGAAAAGATTGGAAGGATCCTTCCTTGGTCGAGATGTTATCTACGGCAGTGTTGTCAGTACGAAGTCGCAGTATTTTCCAAGGATCCTGCTTTCAGGCAATTTTTTTCCCAACAATCCAAGGGCACAGGCACTAGAGACCAAAGTTCATGAGTGCCTACGGCCTTCAAATCAATCGCGGCGGTGGGAAGTTGTGGTGCTGTGCTTGGATCGTTCGAAAGTGTGGCCGATGCAGCAGCATTCAAGCTGTGCTGCTTGCAGCTCACAGAACTCGATAAAGAGGGATCGTTTCGAAGTAGATAATGGATTCTGTAGTTTACTGCTTTACTCTGTGGGATGAAGTCCCTTGGATCCTCTACGGTAGACACTGCATTGTTACACGCGACCGCTTGTTACCAAGTCTATGCAATGGGACAATCGTACTGAGGATTTGAGGATGGATTTGGCAAACAAACAAGTACCGGTAGGCGTTATGCTCGATTTCTCGGGTGAGATTTGCCTCGTTTGCAGCCCCCCCCTTCGAACAATCGTGGAACTTTCCGTTGAAGCCCCACCACACCCACAAACCGCGCGACATGTTTCCCAGCTCTCTCTCATGAGTCACGCGTGAAATACGGGGATTGGGACCCACCCTGGCTGTGGAAAGTTGGAAAGGAGGGGTAGGGGACAAGTGGGGAACATATCTTCCTCGAAGGGACACACGATGGCCACGGTGCTCGTCCCCAACAACTAACTCCCACGGTTTCCCCTACACACCGCTCCTGCAGATGGCGGAACAAACCTTTGATAAGAAGAGGCGGTTGGATGAGGACGGAAACGCCTCGGCGTTCGCCGAAAACACGGCAGAAAGTCGCAAGGAGAAGCTGGAGACCTGGCTCAAGCCCCTTGACAACGAGCAGCTGGTCAAGCTCCTCCTTGATATGTACGTCATGTTCTGCGCCAGTTGTGTCCTTGTGTGTGCATGTGTGTGATGTGTTGTTTTTCGTTCCATTTTTTTGGGGTGGCAGCCTCGCTTGGGTTCCTTGATCGTATCATATGCCCATGCTCATTTAGATTGGCATATGTGGACGGGAACTTCAATCTCTACTGCTTGTTATTGTTATTGCCCACATTGTGTCGTCTCTGTCGTCTCGTCCATGATGTCTGTTTTGAACGTGTCTGCGTCTTTCGGTCCATCCTTTTGTAGCAGATACTGAGTTGTGTTTCTATTTGTTTCTATTTGTGTTTGCCGCGGCCCGTTTGGTGTGACCTCTTTCCTGTTTCTTTTGCTCTCTCTTACATGGTTCTGATGTCTGGCGTGCCCTGGACGTCTGGCGTGCCCTGGGTTCATGGCGTTTCTTCCTTCCAATCCGTGCGCATATGGCTTCGTTGCAACCGGCTTGTTGCATACAATATTCGTGTGCGGGTGCCATTTTGTGTGGTTTTGGGGCCATTTTGGCTGGGCATCTTCTTCTGCAATCTTCAGTGGGTCTGTGAACCCTGGTGCATTCGACGAGATCCACCGGGCCTGCGATGATATTCCGGTATGATTACGTTGCGAGTGGATAAGCACGGTTGATGACAGCTGTAGGTAGTGCGGTAGCGTTTGCTTTTGAACGGCAGTCGTGACATTTGCTTGAAACATGGGATGTCCACTACCCTCTGTTGATGATCTGGTTCTCACGCATCTTACATCCCCACCTCCAATTCACATCAGTGTGACATGAGTCCATGTTGGCGGTTGTGCGTCGCCAGCTTATTTATCCATGGGGGTCCTCGCATTGTTTTCGTCACTGTACGTGAACGGTCGCACTACTGCTGTCGATGCTTTTCACATGGTGGACTGGTTTTCAGTACCACATGATGCAGTGGATGCAATGTTGACTTTTTCGCGGATAGTAATGATTTTCGGTATGCATACGAGCAAATGAATAGAAGTGTGCACAGGCTCGCTTGAGTAGTCCACGTTGCGTTTACCGGCCTATCACATTGTTTATGAGTTGTGCGAAAGCCAACCACTCCTATTTGACGACCTGTGCTTCTATCCGCGGTTTGGGTTTGTCTTGGTTTTTCTAGACTCCCACGTGGCAGAGGAAATCTGTTTGATTTTGCGGATTTTTTTTCGCTTTGCTGGCGGGATATTCGATTCTGACTTGGTTTCCTCATTCTCTTGTAGTTGATGCCGGAACGAAATGGTCCCATTCCTCAATGAGATTTTCCACGACTGCTGTCATGTCGGCACTGGAACTGTTGTAGGGGAACTTCAAGCCGTACCGTATGTTGCAGCACTCATAAAGCCCACCCCTATTTCAGTGTAGGGACGCTCCCAAATATTTGGAGGCTGAAAGACAAATACAGTGACCATGCAGATCGAAAACTCACCTTTTCTTGCAATTTTGTTCCATGCGACCGTCACGCAAGCCACCGCTCGAACCTGATGGGTGCAGTGCACACGTGAGGTTGTCGCGGCGCTCCAGCTTTAGGCACCTATTCATACATCACACTGTACTTGCTGGAGCATCTAAGGCTTATTACCCCGCTGCACGCGCTGCTCGTTTTTAGGTGAACAAGAAAATTTTCGTTCGCGGTCTACCATGGGAAACCAACGACCAGTCCCTTCGTGCAGTCTTCGAGCAATACGGAGAGATCGCCGAGGTAGGCCCCGCTGCATGAGAAACGTGGTATCAATAGCATGCATCTATGCATTGTGCGAGTCGGCTCCCCCCAGGGCTTTTTTTTTTCCCCCCTGATCGTCAGCGACTATCGGTCCTCTCCCCAATCTTGCGATTTTTTCGCATTCGCCCAGGATCAGAGTCTAAGAATTTGAAATAGCAGCTCCTCTGTCGTTCATCGCAAGGCACTTCCTGTCTTCGTTTCGGCCCACCTGAACGACGCTGGCGCTTCCTCTCGTTGTGATTGTTGCATCACAAAATGCGGCTCTCGACTGGTTGTATTCGTTGTTTTGTCACTACGGGTAGTGTCAAAAGACTAAAGGTGATGCTCGTTCCTTTGGATAACTGGTTGACACGGACTCGTACTTTTTCCGCCTGCTCGGTGACTTGCGCGCTAGGCCACCGTGGTGATGGACAAGATGACACAGAAATCGAAGGGTTACGGCTTTGTCACCTTCAAGAGCATGGACGGCGCTCATGCCGCTCTGGAAAATCCTGAGAAGATGATCGACGTGAGGAACTGGAGTCGACCGGTTGTTGACACGTCCACATGCTTGAGTCGACCGGTTTCTCTCCCCACTCGCGTGTATTGCTTCTTGACCCCGTTATTTTAGGACGCGCGATTCATGGTGGTGTCATTGGGCTAGACGCAAAGCCGCTTTGTTTCCTTGATTCGAGTACTGCTGCAGCCTATATCGCGCGTCCAAGCAACTGCGTGATTGAGCCGAAGCTGTTTGATCTTATCGGGCGTTTCTCGTTTCTCCGCTTGGCATCGCATGCTCTCGTTGCAGGGGCGGGTGAGCTTGTGCAACTTGGCGGCCCTCCGCTCCTCTCAACCGCTGCCTGCAAGGGCTGGTGGTGGCATGCAGGGCGGCGCTATGCAGGGTGGAGCGGGTGGCATGATGGGTGGCGCCGTGGGTGGCTCAGGAGAGGACGTCAGTGCCAGGAAGATCTTCGTCAGAGGGCTCTCGTGGTGGGTATGTCACTTGTAAATTATAATATTGTGGTGCGGAAGAATCGCTACGTTGGTATCTCTGCATATAGCACGCCCTTTCCGAAATCGTTCTCAAACACGTTTTTCTGTCTCGGTGAACAGGGACACTACGACAGAGTCACTGCGCACGATGTTCTCTCAATTCGGCGAACTGGAGGATTGTGTGGTGACAACTGACCGCGCGTCGGGCAAGTCCAAGGGATACGGCTTTGTTACCTTCCGCTTTGCCGCCAACGCTGCTGCTGCCGTTGCTGAGCCGGAAAAGCAGCTTGATGTGAGTCCGGAATGACGCACGCCAGGGATCAAGTCATAGGGCAACAACAATGCGTTGGGGAGCAGTATATTTAGTTGGCTAATGTGAATCACAACGGTCACATCTATTTCGCCTTTCGTTCAGCTATCGCCTGTCTTGCGCGCTGGCGTCAAACAGGCTTACTGTGTTCTCTTGAGTTTTTTTCGACAGGACCGACGGTTTAGTTATTATCGCTGCCTCTCCTCGCTGCTTTGCTGGGGTTGCAGGGTCGCCTGACCCACTGCAACATCGCAGCTGAGGGAGCTTCGAACAGGAAGAACCAGAACTACGGTGGACCTCAGGCCGGTCAGCACTGGGGCATGATGGGTCAGCAGCAGCAGTACCCTGCTCAAGGTACGCGGTGTCGTGTGTTCCTGCAGACGTGACATAGTTATTCACCTTTCGAAATAGTGTACAAAGTCAGACTTCTAAGCCCGTCTTGTGTTACAAGCTTGACCACACAACAATACAATTTTTACGCCTATGCCATTTTCACAGGTCAAGGCTCTGGTCAGTGGGGTGTTGGTGGCGGTGATGGTCAAGCCCAAGGCTTCGGCGGTCAGGGACAGTGGGGGCAGCAGCAGCAGTTCGGCGCACCTCAGGTACGTTCGTTCATCACTTGTCCCAATGCCAGCTGTTGACCCATACCATGGCGCCAAACGAAGACTGGTATGGTATACTGCTGATAGTTGCACGCTCCACCCCGCTTAGTTGCTTAATACAGGCGGACTGTTGACATTTGACGATGTTGGTATCCGCTTCCGTTGGTACAGGGAGTGCAGCAAGCGTATGGCAACGGTGCGTATGCAGGAGGCGCTGCTGCGTACGGCACCAACGGTGGTGGTGCATACCAAGGCCAGGCTACCCAGGCTGCCGGAGGAGCGGGTGCATGGGGCGGACAGCAGGGATACTGATCCTCCCTTTCGATGTGCAAGCTGTCCGAGGGAGCCCATGGTTCCTTGTCAGATTTTTTGCTTCAATTGGTAGGAAGTAGTGTGGACAACAGACGTTGTGGTTTTAATGGAGGGATATGGTTTCAGAGTTTCTACCGTCTTCATAGGTCTCTAAGCTCAAGGCACTCAGTCAGAGGATAAACGACACAGAGGACACGACGACAGAAGAGGACCTATGGTATTGTGAGTTTGCGTTAGGACAGGGTTTGGCTCGGCGGCCGTTTTGATCGCATGATTCATGTAACGGAGAGGTATAACCAACATTTGGAGCCTGCCGCAGAGATGTTCCTATACCGCTTACACATGTATTTGGCTACAGTTGCAAGCCACGTATGTAATTGGACATATAACGGGTGTTGTAGAGGAACAGAGAGCTGTACTAATATCGATGTAAAGAGAATCTGTGTCTCGGATCATTCTGTGGGTGAAAACGAAACCATCCCATCAAATGGCTTCTAGTGCAGAGCAGTACACGTATCGACGCCTAGCACACATAATGTCACACCAAAGTCGAGTGATGACTCGGGGGTCTTGCAATGGTTTGGAGGAATCACAGGTTTTGTGCGTAAAGATCACAAGCAACCGATTCCTATTCTGGATTTAGAGATGAGTGCGAAAAAATTGTTTTGCATGCTCCCGTCTAGGGTGAGGACTTTGCATTCACCCTTTGTAGGTCACGGCCTTGGTTGGACAAAACACTTCCTCACCCCCCCGGGTTGCACATCACACAATTAAGCAAAAAAATATGACCGAGGGGCTCCGCGATAATCTAGTAGGACCCCATGATGTGCTGCCCTGTTTAACCATTTGGTGCAGATGTGCACACCTTTAGCCACCGCTGGTGCTCCTCACACAGATGGCTACGTGCCATGAAACCTGCGGGATACCTTAAGTATGTTGTGTTCTACACGCGCAGACAAACATGTGATTCGCCCTGGTTTCACTCTGAACCTGGGAAAGGCCGTGCCGCTGCTTCAAGCCGGATCCGCGGCTCTCAGCACCCAACTATGGGCCAATTTGGATCGTCACGGATGGCCACTGAGTGTTTTCGTCCTATTTGTTACGGCGACAGTCCCTCAATTTTTCGTGGTGAGACGTGCACCACACATATATTCAGTGCATTTTTCATACAACTACGACCATCCAGAATCACACAGTAAAGTTGGGTGAACACCGGGCTTTCTTCTCTTTGTTTTTATTTCGGACTGAATTGTATTTTGTATCGCGAGAAGGGTCCAGCTGTCCTTTTCCCTCGTGAACGGTGCTTACGTCAAAGTTTGGAACTCACGAGACCCATCTTTTTCGCTTTCACCCGCATATTTGTAATTTGTAATTTATTGATAACATGGGAGGGATTCGAACTCACGACTTTGCGACTAGCCGTTTCGAGGTTACCACTGGACCACCACGACGACCGGGCCCACTACGAGGTCATATATCGACCGAACACGGCCCATAGATCTACCTATAATATTGTTTGAAATTCTTCGGCAAGGTCCCCCAAGATTTGTGTGCGCTTGGATTAATATCTTAATTTGACATAAAGATTGCCCTATCAAATTGGATGCGCGAAAAAAATGGCCTGGTCCAATTTGTTCATGTCACCTGAAGAGAGCAAAAGAAACAGGAAAGAGGTCACACCAAACGGGCCGCGGCAAACACAAATAGAAACAAATAGAAACACAACTCAGTATCTGCTACAAAAGGATGGACCGAAAGACGTAGACACGTTCAAAACAGACATCATGGACGAGACGACAGAGACGACATAATGTGGGCAATAACAATAACAAGCAGTAGAGATTGAAGTTCCCGTCCACATATGCCAATCTAAATGAGCATGGGCATATGATACGATCAAGGAACCCAAGCGAGGCTGCCACCCCAAAAAAATGGAACGAAAAACAACACATCACACACATGCACACACAAGGACACAACTGGCGCAGAACATGACGTACATATCAAGGAGGAGCTTGACCAGCTGCTCGTTGTCAAGGGGCTTGAGCCAGGTCTCCAGCTTCTCCTTGCGACTTTCTGCCGTGTTTTCGGCGAACGCCGAGGCGTTTCCGTCCTCATCCAACCGCCTCTTCTTATCAAAGGTTTGTTCCGCCATCTGCAGGAGCGGTGTGTAGGGGAAACCGTGGGAGTTAGTTGTTGGGGACGAGCACCGTGGCCATCGTGTGTCCCTTCGAGGAAGATATGTTCCCCACTTGTCCCCTACCCCTCCTTTCCAACTTTCCACAGCCAGGGTGGGTCCCAATCCCCGTATTTCACGCGTGACTCATGAGAGAGAGCTGGGAAACATGTCGCGCGGTTTGTGGGTGTGGTGGGGCTTCAACGGAAAGTTCCACGATTGTTCGAAGGGGGGGGCTGCAAACGAGGCAAATCTCATCCGAGAAATCGAGCATAACGCCTACCGGTACTTGTTTGTTTGCCAAATCCATCCTCAAATCCTCAGTACGATTGTCCCATTGCATAGACTTGGTAACAAGCGGTCGCGTGTAACAATGCAGTGTCTACCGTAGAGGATCCAAGGGACTTCATCCCACAGAGTAAAGCAGTAAACTACAGAATCCATTATCTACTTCGAAACGATCCCTCTTTATCGAGTTCTGTGAGCTGCAAGCAGCACAGCTTGAATGCTGCTGCATCGGCCACACTTTCGAACGATCCAAGCACAGCACCACAACTTCCCACCGCCGCGATTGATTTGAAGGCCGTAGGCACTCACGAACTTTGGTCTCTAGTGCCTGTGCCCTTGGATTGTTGGCTGGCCTCTTCTTCCTTCTCGTGTCAGGAGGTCATGAACCTCTCAGCTCCCTGCAGCACCGCCACATGCCAGGGTACTCCCCCCTCCACCTTCGCGGCTTCCGTCCACCTTAACTTCGGTGCCGTGTCTTTCGCTACCGGGATTCCGAGACAACATGGATCGGTTTTCGTAGATCCGTGGTCGGCCCCGAATGCCTTCAGGTCGTCGAGCACCCACTTCGGCCAGTTCTGTTCCTGTCCCCCCCTACGTGGCTTTTCCCCCCCCCGCCAGCTCCCCCCCCGGTGTTTGCCATCGGGGTTGGGTTTTCGTCGCTTGGCAACGACGTTGTAAAACAAGCCGCCCCCCCCGGTGTTTGCCATCGGGGTTTGGGTTTTCGTCGCTTGGCAACGACGTTGTAAAACAAGCCCCCCACTCGGTGTTTGCCATCGGGATTGGGTTTTCGTCGCTTGGCAACGACGTCGTAAAACAAGCCAATTCACTTCGTGAACTCGGCAACCAGGTTACCGTTTTTTTTTTTTTACCTCATTTTTTTTTTTGGCGGTAACCGTAATAATGGTGGTCGAGTAGATCATGTTGTGCGGGGTCGAGAACCCTCTCTCCGCGCAACGGGGGAT